ACCTCAGTGTCCACCATAGCCCGGCTGAAGGCAGCTTCGCCGCCTTCCGGGCCTCATGTTCGAACTGCAGGATCAAAGACCAAGTGGGCTTGCGGCCGTCACCAGTAAGCAATCCTGCCACCTGCGACCCGAGGATGTAGTCACTGAAGCGCCTGAAGATATCAGTCAGGTTCCTCGAAAGCCAAGGACGGCTCGAGTGCTTGGTAGCCAAGAAGTCCCAAGCTAAGCCGATGCGCCGGTGACGAAGTCGCAGCTCCTCGGGAGTTTGAGGCAAAGAGGTTAAGGTTTTGCCCGGCTGCACCTTCAAGACATTCGTCATCGGATCGATGACCGCCGAATAAGTCTCGAGTTCACTATCCTCCAATGAAGCGACTTCTTGAAGGTTTTCAACGATTGGTTGATTTGATTCGATCTGCTCCAGCTTCGCAGCCAAAAGCGAACGCGAGGGCACCTCTTTGTCCTTGAGTTTTCCCAGGACTGTCTCGACAGCCACTCTCATGCTGTGCTGCTCATTAGGTTGCAGCAACCTCTGCTGGGTGCCCAATCGAGCTTCCGCGCGATTCTTCTCACTGACCTCCAGATGAAGTTTCACAGCCTCCCATGCACTGAGGATGCGAGCCATCTCCAGCCTTTGGGCGACGCCGTCCTGATACGGTAAAGGGAGGTCAGCAGCCAGGGCCCCCCGCACCTTTTCGCGGTCCTCATCAAGCCCGGCAAATAATGGGATCGAAATGATCCCCAAGGCCCCAAATCGAGCCTGCCACTTTGGTTCCACCTCATCCTGATCTAGGTGGAACCGGAGATCGGTAGTCAGGCGCTCCAGATTTGCAAGCTGCTCGGGCGTCATTGGGTCCAGAACAATCTAGCTTGGGCCCATCCGAAGTTGACCAGACCGGCCCCCTTCTGTCTGATCGGTTCCTGTGCAATTGCACAACCGATCAAGCTGCGCACACGAAGTCTTTGTTTCCAACTCCATCCGATGATGCATTGTGCAGCGAACAAGACAATCACAACCGAGGAAACTTCCCCGATCAAAGTCGATAAGCACGACTTCCAATCCGCATGTTGAACCATGGAATGTAATTTCCACGAATCAACATCTTGACACCACGACATGCAACCAGCATGTTGAATCGCGGAATAAAATCTCCACAAACGACCCCAGCCTACAAAGGCTCCAAAGAAATGTAAAACACACGATAAGATCACCGACACAGCCCCACGATAGCTCGGTGCAGCCTTCTTGTCACAGGCGACCCAGTCCCACTCTCAGGAACTGGAGCTGCTACTGTCGGAATGATCCTCGAGCGATGTGCTCGACGAGCCTTCATCTGAAGCCTCAGCCTCCTCGGAAGGAATCACTGCTGAGGGTTCCGGCTTGAAACAGTGCTTGCACTCAGTATCATACTCGACCCCCTCTAAGGAGTCGTAAAACTCGCAACGGATCAGATCACTTGGTTTGGTCCCGCAGCCGCCCTTTCGATGGAGTCGTCGAAGCGACCTCTTGCCCAAAACAGCCACAAAGAATTTAAAGTCCTGCGCAGCAGGTCCCGGATCAGCCGCCGGTGCCGGGCGATCGACCATAGGCAAAGTTGGGCGACTGCTAATAAAGGACAATCTCCATCCCATCCAAGAGGCAGGAGTAAGCAAGGACTCGGATAAGCCCCTCGCAGCTTCCTCTCCGCAACCGTTGTCCTGAAGCCGCTCCTGAGCTTCACTAACCCCGACCTTGCAGAGTTCGATTGCAGTTGCAAGCGCATACACGACAAATGCCTGCAGTGAGCTGACCACTTTCCATTCGGATCTCACATACACATCAGCGGCTTCCACGATATGCCACCGTCCAAGATAGTCTCTCCTCTCACGGTCGATCCCAGCCCAAGCCGCCAAAGTAGACATGCAGCTTCTCTCTGAATGTTCAGTGAAAACTCTGATCAGTTCAGCATCCAAAAGCTTAGCGTCCGAGAGAAACCAATCCCCCTCATAATATGCAGGAGACCTCAATGAAGCCAGCACCAGCCTCGACATCGCCGCCAAATCGTTGTACGAAGCCAGCACCGGCCTGCAGCCCTGAAGATTGCGGGTGGGGCGCGGGACCATGTAGTCCCGCTTAAAGCCAAACTCAGCTCCCCTCCAAATCTTGAAGCCCTGCCTGAGCCAATCCTTGTTAGCCAGCCAAGCATCAGCCGAGACGAAGAAAGGGAGAAAGCGCACCTTCCTCCCTGCCCCACTTGTCTTGGTTCTGTCAAAATGTCCCCTGAGACCCGACTCCGAAAGAACCATGGAATCAAAGGAGGCCCCCTGAAGGTCGTCAGATCTGCTCGTATCCAAAATTTGAACAACTTGATCCACGCATAAGCACGCAGATACTTCGGAACATCCACTGAAGAAATCATCAGTTCCAGCGAGATTACAACGAAGATCGGTAGTGGAACTGCTCTCCTGGTAGGAGGAGCCCCGACCTCCAGCTCCGCAGTGCGCGTGTTGACCAAATTCAAGACGATCGGCTGTAGCGACATGGTCGCTTCCCTCCTGATGCCTCCCGCCTTTTCAAAGAAGGCAGTGGCAGAAAGCACTGACTTGAGGCGAGTCTTGGCGCAAGGCTGCTCCCGAAGCTCCTCAATGTAATCCAGCAAAAGACCAACATGAGACGGAAAAGGTCGCCCCTCAGTGGCCATGCACCATGCTGAAAACTTCCCCCATTCGCGAATGCGGGACCTGAGAGTGGAAGAACGAACGTTGCCCGAACTGGTTAAGAGGATCTTGTCAGGATCTGTAGCAAACGCGGCATGAGAACATACAGGCATTCGGCACTCCTTCAATGCAGAAACAAGCCGAGTCCTCATCGGTTCAACTCTGAGGCCTCAACACGGGCCCTCGAATGAGACTCAGAAGAAAGAGCAAGCTCCTTATCCCTCCTAGTAGGCCAACGAAGAAGAAGCCGTTTGGCCCCCGACTTCGTTGCAAGCCACTCATGTGAAGGAGGAGCCGCCTGAAACAGATCCTTCAAGGGTGACCCGACATGATGAATCTGATGTAGCCCTTGCATTGCACGAGCTCTCCAGGCTCTGCTGGCCTGACCATTCGCGTCATCTGTAAGGTGCACCAGAATGCGTAGGCAGGACAACCACCCCACAGATCCAGAAGCAAAACCCAACTTTTCCAGAAAAGCAGATAAATCCCGCTCATCCACAAATAAGGTTGCAAGCAGTGAAGAGCCTGGCTGTGTCCCATCCTTGCTGATCGCAAATCGGACCTTCCTTGGTAATCGGTCCCAAGATAAGACCTCGGAACTGGCTTCGGAAGGAGCACCCCCCGAATCGACTGATGCCTCGGCAGCAGCGCCTGAAGAAGACATGTTGTTTTAGCCAGCAGGAACCGCTCTCCAATGCCCAAAGATCCCTGGCTTCCAGGAAGCTGGCAATGCACACAGAGACCTCCGGAGCGCCCAAGACGTCAAGTAAAGTTTCAGGCGGCGACTCTGTGTCTGCGGCCGCAGGTTCCATGCAGCGGCCAGCTAAAGAAGCCTCGCAACTAGCACCTGAAACCTGTTAGATGCAACGTGTTGCGGAGTGGCGGCCCCGGGTGTCCAGTGTATCTCACTCCGACTCGCAGCCCAGGCACAGAGGCCCGGAACTGCCACCACCGCCGGGAGCACTGACGCACGTCGAGACCGCACTCACGCAAAGGGCCCCGAGGCTTCAAGAAAATTTCACGGTGACTGCAGCAGAGCCACACGACTACAGGCACACGACATGGATTCTCAAGGCATCTTCGTAAAGAGGTGCAAAGTGAGAAAAGGAAAACCCGTGTGCCAAACCCCCCACGTGAAATTAAATGACAAAGCTCTGTGAAAACAGAAAATGTTTTCGTGATAAAGGCACACGAAAACAAAACTCAGATTCTCAAAAACTAACTCCGATGGACACGTCCACCTCGCTTGGTTCATATCACTGAATCCAAACTGGCGCTGACCTCACACCTGGACCGGACCATAGCGGAACCCTCGGTTGTTAACCCGCCACCTCAGGACGCTGACCTTAAGTCTGAGGAGATCGCGGCTGCATCTCCCACGCTCCTGCCCGGCCCCCTGAAAGGGGTGCCGTACGGTGCCCATGTCGCTGGTAAACACGGTCCCAGAACCACTTGCTTCTCCTGCCCAACCTGCGACCTCTGGTTTCCGGACCTGGCTACTCTCATAAGGCACCACAGTCAGTTTCATGAAACCCCCCTACCGAACCCTCTCCTTCAGATGGATGCAGCAGAGGTGCGCAGACACAGCGTCGATGGGATGCCAGTTTGTATGCACTGTCGTAAGGACTTCACCACCTGGCACAACTTTCGGAGACATATCACGCAAGGGCACTGCACCCAACATCGACAACAGTCGGACCCTTCCTTCGTAGTGTCATCGACAGATGCAATCTCTGAGTCACGTAGCCATGCCAATCCGGTTTGTAGGCCCTCTCATCCCTCTCCTGTTTCCATCCCTGCCACAGCTGACCCTCCCCAAGAGTCGATTGGTGCCACAGTGCCAGAAGAGCAGACCCCTGCTAGAGTGACCGAGGTGACTATGACGGCAGCGGCCCAGACCCCGGTGGTGCCGTACACTGTAGCCGCTCACACAGGCTCACCGCTTGATGGCTTACTGCCGGAAAAACCTGAGGACTGGCTGCGATTTGCTCGACAGCCCAAAGCTCAGGAGCTTTTGCGACAGTTCTGCACTACGTGCGGACAGTGGCTCGTATCGGTCAAGAGCGTCAAGTTGCACTATCGCTCAGTGCAGCAGGCTCTATATGCGACGCACGGTGCGTCTGCGGCAGCAGATTGCCGAAAAATGGGACATCTCATTTCACCCCGCGTTTTTTGTGGCACTAAGGTTACACGGACAGACCAGCATGCTGCTACATGCCCGGTCCTTTGGCAAGCCCGCATCTGTTGTCTTGCTCAGAGCAGCTCGGTTTCACCTGCCCCCGCTCTGGTCACTCCTCCTACTCGCGATGGCGACGGAGGGTTTGCACATGGACCTCGACCAGGAAGAACAGAGTGTGTTTGGAGGGATTCTGGGGAAACGAGCCCTACAGACAGACTTGACAGAGAATCCAGCCAAATATCAGCATCCAGGCGGCAAAGGCCCTCCGCCGAATCGGAGCAGCGGCGGCACGCGCCAACAACAGCAACCGTTGACGGGACGCGGCCGCCATACGGCCCCCTTTCAGGGGAGCCGGGGCCGCGACGTCCCAGACAATCGCAATGGACCCTCCAAGATGCCTTCGGAAGATCATGCTCTGCTGCACCGAGTTGCAAAGGCCCTCATCGTCCAAGCGGACTATCTGTCGCGCCTTCAGAGCGACCACACCGTCATCTTCACGTTTCGAACAGGCAGCGGCCCACAGTTGATGGTGCCGCTTCTCCAGGAGGTCGCGACAACTTGGCGCGAACAACGTCAGCAGAACAAGGTGACCCGCTCCCTGAAGCAAACTCTCATCCAATATCTTGCGGCAGAACTCGTGACCAGGATCAATGCATTCGCGGCCGACACCGAGTCCCAGCGGAAAGCCCAGGAATTAGGATGGACTACGTCGGAGGGGGAGTTCAACTTCTTGGACTGGGACTTCGAGGAGAAGAAGCTCGTCCCCCGGCAGGCGGAGACGCTCACCACGACCAGATCCTCACAGACGCCAAGCGACTCAAGACCTTGCTGAAGAATCCGGACCTAGTCTTGAAGTTCAGCGGAGGCCGCAACGCCAAGCCCGACTCGACATCCGAGACAGCGACATTTGTGTTGGAACTGTCCATGCAGCAACCAGAAGCATCGGAGGCGATGGCGATCTTCCGGAAATGGTATGCCAACTCAGCGCTCCTGCTCCTCTCTCTCCGGCTCAAACCGGCCCGCCCAGAGCGGTCGCCGTTGATCAAGGAGATCCAGGAGGCCGTGGGATGGTAGATGGCAGGGAACTCAGGTCTGTGTGCATTCCTGCTGCACTACGACCACCCCCTCGAATAGGTGGTTGGTGGGGGGACGTGAGTAGGATTCCCACCTATTCTTCCTGGGGACGCGCCACCTATTTTTCCACCGTGGGGGGGGGGGGTTGAGAAAATAGGTGGCGATCGGTAGGTTTGGAGGGCTTAGATCCGTGCTTCGAGTGTGAAGCCGTGTGCTGTGTGAATACCGTGTGCCAGTGACGATCCGGTGCAGGCATTTTGCCTTGATGGCGGTAGCATGCGGTAGCAGTCGGCAGCACATGAGTCCATGGACAGCATCATGCATCATCTATAAGCTGCTACACGAAACCTAGACTTGGCGCCAGGCCAGCCCTCTGGCAGCCACCTATATTCGTACCGCGATCCTTGATGTAGACACTGGTCGGGTGGACTAGGGATAGACTCCGGATATAGGGGGTTCCAGGGGGAGGACCCTACGGTTTGTGTGGTCTCTGCTACACGAAACCTAGACTTGGCGCCAGGCCCGCCACCTATTTCTCCGTGTGGATTCTACCACCACATTGTACCTACTTCCCTGGCATTCCTCCTACTAGTATACTACGGGGCCCCGTGACTAGGCCTGGTCCGACTCCCAGGGTCTGCAGTCTCTTGTCGCTGTGGATAGCGGGCAGTTTTTTGAGTGGATGCCAGGGGGGGGACCCGACGGTTTCTGCTGTCTCTGCTACAGGAACCCCAGAGATGGCAGCCACCTATTTCTGCATGGTCATTGTTCCTGTAGTCTACCGCAGTCAACCTTGTTTGCAGATGCCTGGAGGAAGAAATGTGTGTCCAGCAACGTGCTCAGACCCTCCCCCAGCATTCCATGTACCCGGAAATAGGTGGCCCACCTATTTGGGGGGACCCCTCACCCCCCCACCCCCGCGAAGGGGTCCCCCTGCTGCACTGCTGCATCTTACACTGCACAACCCAGACAATCTTTGCTACATAAATGCCACTGCGTACCTGCTAGCCTACATTCAGCACCTTGCTGGACCCTGTACTCAATTCCATGGCACCCAGTCTCTTGAGCGGTCACTGCAAGATTTGTTGAGTGATCCTGTCCCTATACCTGGAGAGCGACTTACCATCCCTGATCTTCCCGGGTGGCACTCTCTCCTCAGCGGCTGGACGAACATGCATCGCCAGCAGGACTGCCTTGAGCTCATACATCACTTGTTTGACCAACATTGCCCAGCACACATGCGATGTCAGTGGGAGGCAAGACCGATACCAGGTACTGTTGCAGCTCGCAGACCCCTTATAAGTGGTCTTTTCAGCATTGACCTCCCCCTCCCTAAGAAAACCTCCAGTGCCACCATCCAAGAATGCATTATCAGCTGGCACGAACAGAGGATTCCCCACGGCCTTCTCCAACCACCGCCTTACCTGCTAGCCAGCCTTGCCCGATATGCAAACCCCACCAAAGGGAAAAATAAGACGCGTGTCCCTTGTAAGGCCATGCAGCAAGTCAGCTTTCCCGTCTTTCGAGGTCCTGGACATGAGATCCAATGGGCCACCTACGAGCTGGTGGCGGGGATTTTACACCTGGGGCCCTCGCCCCAGCAAGGCCACTATCGTGCATTTCTTGCGCATCCACGTGATGCCCACAACATTGCATCCCAGGTGTCTGCAGCTTCACGGCCCGGAGATGTGGCACTTGCAGGTGCAACGGGGATTTCGGCCCCTCGGGGAGACCGTCGGCCCCTTCGGGGAGCCTGACCAACACCTGGTGGTGTACAGAAGATGGTCAACCGCCCGAGTTGTGTCATCCAACATATGCTCGGATCCTGAGTGAGAATTGCTACATTCTCGGCTTTCGTCTCACTAAACTTTGATCTGTATAGCCAGTGATGCCGGTGTTAGAGTTAGTATCGGACTGCGGACTGCAAATCCATGTAGTCAGAGCTCGATTTCAGTTTCAGTTTCAGCTCGTCGAGCTGATGTTGTCTAAGGCGATGTACATTACAGCTCTCGTTAGCCGCGCTGAATTCATTTCTGAATTCGGCGTGTCGCCTACGCCGCGCAAGGGACCAGGGGACGGTTCTGCGATCGCAAAGTCAAAAAGTCTCTCTCTCTCTCTCTCTCTCTCTCTCTCCCTCTCTCTCACTCTCTCTCTCCTGTCTCTCCTCTCCTCCTCTCTCTCTCTCTCTCTCTCTCTCTCTCTCTCTCTCTCTCTCTCTCTCTCTCTCTCTCTCTCTCTCTCTCTCTCTCTCTCTCTCTCTCTCTCACACTCGGGCATAGGGACCGGTCAGGGCCCCCGGGCATCTTGCCCACCCGAAGTGTTTTCAGGTTTCAGGGGCGTGAAAAACGAGTGTATCCCATCTCAAGACTAAAGTCATATAAAGTACGATAGCGAACACGAGATGGTCGTACACTCTCCACGGACACATGCATGGTCCCCAAAATTTCCCCCGATTGCTCAGCGAGAGAAGAAGTCATTATAGAAAGAGCAATACGGCAGGAAAGATTGGCCCCTTGTTCATGATTTTTCCCCCACAAGAAGGGGTATTTGGACGGGAGGTTTCCCCATCACTTCCTGAAGAGGACTGATCATCAGTAGGCAGTTTTGCGAAAAGGACGACAAATAACATCAACATAATCAGTCAAAGCAAAAAAAAAAAAAAAATCACTCTCTGCACTGCCCAGTGAGATCGTCTCTACAATCCCCCAGAAAAGTTGCAAGCGGAACAACACAAAAGGTATCAACTACGAGCTGAGTCAGATAACATGATATGCAACTTTCAAGGGTTATCAAAGTCGCTGAAGGAAGGTATTCCGACTTTTGCAATGTAGTGCAGCACAACAGTATGCTATGGGTCGACACAAAACATATGTGGCGGATCATACCCTCTTCTGCCTTTCACGAAAGAAAAGCATAGCTGCATGGTTTCGGATCGGTTCGCCGGGGAACTTCTGGTATATCACCAAACAAGATCGCATTGTACCGAGTATATTAAAGCAATATGCATCACACTGCTTATTCCCCCCGATCGGCACACAGTTGCAACTATGCAGTATTCAGCAGATGCAGACATGATATGCCACCGAGAGATAAACAAGGACCCCGTGACTAATAGAAGTGGGTGTTTCCCCCAGCATATATGCTCTGCATGAAAGAAAGTCCGATCCCCTCGTGGCAAATGTTCAATCGTCACCCCAAGACCGAACCAAGGATGGATAACTCAACTTGCCACTTTCAAGAGGGTCGCAGTGTCTTGGAAAGAGGTTTGCTCGACGACTACCCCTCGGATACGACAGCAACACGTCAAGACAGGGTCCAGGCTACTTCGCCAGAACAAGATAGGGACCTGCAAACATGTTGGTGTCGGAGCATACCTCCAGCAAACTTCACTCCGGAAAGGCTCGTTGTGCAAGGACGCTGATCGTTTCGCCGGGGATTTGGCATAAGAAGACATCAGAGTCTAGACTATCCAACAAGAGGTATCTTACATCATACTTTCTGATTCCCCCGATCAGCCTGTAAAAGGTTGTACAGCTGAAGCTACAGGCGTGGGTTGAGGAAGTTTGCAGCACACACGTGTCCATCTCAATCAAGCAGACAGGTTCAAAAGTCCCCAACATGTACATAAGCCGCAGTATCGATTGTAGAAAGGACTCACTGATGAGCTGGACGTGGCTTTACACACTCTAGGATCCCCCGCTCACTCTCAGTGCTCACACGGGACCGTGACGTCCGTAGAGAGCCCCATGTAGGCGGTGACGACGGTGCTCTGCCGGGCTTTCATCGCTGTCGTAGTCCTCTGTTGGCGACCTCGCGACTTGGGGAGCATTCCCCAGCCCGTGGTGTCGCTCCTGCAGCCACCATTCATGCGCTCCCTGCGACGATGAGCTAGCTCCCCCGACTTGATGTATTGTAGTGGTGGCTGTCTCCACTGTATGATGAGGTAGTCCCCCGTCTGGTACTCCAAGTGCAGCAGGTCCGGGTACGTCAGGGGCTCCCCCGCCTTGTGGTACAGCAGGTTGTAGTGCGTTCTCAACGGCTTCCAAGGCATCCAGCAATGCCCCGTGGACCCCATTTAGGTCCTCCCCCGGCCAGTCGTTCAACTGACTTTGGAGGTCTGCAAGTTCACGGCATATCCCCCGTGCTCGTTGTTGGCGTCGTTCTCTGGCAAGGTTTGAATGCAGCGCGCCACGGCTTGCTGCAATCACATCCGCAGGGTGGGCGACATGTCCCCCGCTTTCCACTGCAAGGAGGTACTCCACGACGTCAATGAGCTGCAACCAGTACTCCTGATTGCCGGGGTCCATTTGCACACCCTGCAAAGCTCCCCCCATGTATCGCATCACGGCCGCGGTGTTGTGGGAACTTGCATGGAACTCATTGAGTTCCCCCTCGGCCCGCCAATTTCGAGGTTCGCCATCTGCTGCGGTCGCCATGGCATGCATGTGGCCGTTCAGCCACTCCAGAACTACATCGATGTCATGCTGGATATCGTAGTAGGTGATATACTGGTGGTTGTTGGCGGAGGCCAGTCGCTGCATTGCCTTTTGCTTGATGCGATTCATTGCTGTTGCTGCTTTGCTGGGGGTCGGTTCGACCCGTGCTTTTTTGTTTTTGGGTTCTGCCGCTTCGGGAGGAGGCATGTCCCCCTGTTCAAGGTCTAAGTGTCTTAAGACCTCTGCTTCGGTCTGACTGTCTACGAGCAAGTCAGAGAGGGCGCACTGGGCCATGTGAGCCACCATGGTTCCCCCTGGCAGCTGTTGCGCCAGTCTGTAGATTCGTGTGAGATAATGTTCGAGGCGCTCGGTGGTGCTCCCCGGCAACTGTGTGTCGCTCGGATTTACTGTATGTGGTGTGTGCAGCTGTGGAGGTGGTGGCGGTAGTGGTTGTTGTACTTGCTCTTCGCTGTCAGGCACAGTTTGTGCGATGGCTTCCGGTGGGGCCGGCTGGCCTGCTTGGGCTTGGGCCCCCTGTTGCAGTATTTGGAGGATGTCACGTTGCATCATGTCAGTCACATCGAAGTCCTCCCCCGTGGTGCTGCTGCTACTGTTGATGGAGTGGGCTGCGGTAGTCGTGGTAGTGGTTGTCCCACTGGTAGTCGTGGTGGTGGTGGTTGTGGTCGTTCGCCCTTTCTTTTTGCCGCCGATGTCGCGGCCGTCTCTTACTTTGGCGAAGGGGTCTTCTGGCTGTGTTTCTGTTGGTTCGTCCTCGTCTGGCTGTGGCGGTGGCTGTGCCGGTGTTGGGTCGTGCTGTTGTCGACTGCGTGCCCCCCTGAGGTCTCGTTGGTCGACGAAGGGGGCTTCTTCACGGGGTGGCTTGGGTGGTGGGGGCTTGGCTTTGCCGGTTGGTTGCTTGTCGGTGGGCTGGCCAGTGGTGCGGGGAGGGGGTTTCTGCCGCGCTGTGGGTGGTGGGTCTTTCACGTCGTCTGCGAAGTGGACGTGCTTCGAGCCAGAGGTGCTTGTGTCTGGCGTGTGTTGCGGGATCTGGACTGGATCGGTGGAGCTGCTTGCACGTTCAGTCCCCCGGGGGGTCGAGGGTGGTTTTTGCTGAGGACCAGCAGGGTTCGGCTTTGGTTTTTCCCCCCTGCGGGCTTCACGGGCTGTGGATTCCATCTGTTTGTCCACTCGCATCTGCCAACCGGTGGGCGAAGGGGTGAGGACGAATGAATCCCCTTCCACGACAAACATGCTCTCAGGCCAGAATTCGTCGAGCATGGGTAGAGTCGTGATCATTAGTAGCCATGTGTCTGGTGGCCCCATGGGGGCTAATCGCCCGATTGTTCCCACCGGCAGTGGGGGTGCGGTGAGGACGGGCCCCGTCTGGCCAACATGGACCATGTGGAGTGGCGGCAACCCTGCCGTGGAGGTGAGGGGGGTCTCAATGTAATGTTCGGCATGGATTGTGATTTGCCAGCAGCCGTTTGTCAACTGTGTGTAGCTGACCGTGGTGCCGTGTGCATGAGGGATGCTGGGTGGTGGTTCAATGTCGATGTCCCCCGCGTGGGCGTTGTCATACTGCCATTGCTCGAGTTCTGTATATTGGTGTCGTGGAGGGGGCTGTTCCCCCGTGGCGGTGGTGGAAGGCTTTGTTGGCTGTGGCTTCGGCCCCCCCGATGCTGGGTGGGCGGGTGGGACTGCGGCGCCGCTCCCTGGGGTCCGCCCGAGGAATTTGTCCATCGCCTCCTGGAATTGGGCATCGGCAGCTGTGTCGGCCTTGGTCCCCCGTGGTGGTTGTGGCATGCTGTGGCTTTGGGAGGCAGCGCGTGCTTGTTCAGCGAGGATGCCCCAACCTGGGCCCTCTTGTGGTTGTGGTTCAGGTCGAGTGACTTGCTCACCGGCCCACTGGCGCTGCTTTAGCACGTGTTTCCCCCGCTTGTTTCCGAGTCTTTGGGATCCGTGTCCCGCGCCAGATGTACGGCTAGATCTGCCTCTGCCGGTTGCTTGCCCCCATCCTGGTCTTTCCCAAGGAGGGAGCTTCTTGCTGTCCGTGTCGTTGCTAGGGCTGGGGCTGTGACTGGTATGTCCATCCTCTGGAGTATCGTCGGTGGCGGCGCCCCCAGGTGTTGTGAAGTCTCTTGGTGGTCGTGGTTGGATGAATGCTGGAGGAGGCTGTGTCCCCCGGTTGCGTGGTGGTGGTTCCTGTCGTGGAGGGGTGTGTTGTAGTGGTGGTGGTGGCTTGCTGCACGATGCGTCCACAGCTTCCTGCTCTGCCGTCTTGGTTGTGGCTGTTGGTGGTGGTTGTTGATGAGATGATCCCCCCTGTGGATCTGGTCGTGCGGATTGGTGGGAGTGTTGTTGATGTGTGTCGGCAGGGGTGGCTGGTGCCGTGTTTTGAGCTTGGTGGGAGTGCTGTGTGTCGGCAGGGGTGGTAGGTGGTGCACCTCGAGCTTGGATCGGGTGCGTCATCCTGTGGGTTATTCCAGGGGTCGAAGTCCCAGCTGTACTCTCGAGGGTGCTGGGTGGGCCCCCCTCGCTGGGTCGAGGAAGTAGCCTGTGTTTGTGAGCTGATTGTGGCAGGCTGCGCAGGGATTGCTTGTTGGGGGTGTTGTTGTGGGACGGCAGCTGTCCCCCACTGGTGTGGAGCACGTGGGGTTCCAGGTTGGTGGGTGGGTTGCTGTGGGGGTGCATGATGTGGGGGCTGGCATGCTTGTCCCCCGATCTGGTATGCTGGTGGAGGGAAGTAGCTTGGTATCTGCGGTGGTGGTGGCTGGTGGTGACCGGTGCCGGGGGAAGGGTATGTTGTCCACCCACCCCATGCTGTCCACGCCACTTGAGCTGGTTGCTGATTGGGTGCCCAGTGCTGTGTTTGCCATGGTGCTTCGGGAGGGGTTGCTTGGGTCGCCGTGGTCTGGTTGTGGCGCTGATCCCCCCGTGTCGCGTCGCCGGCTGCAGCAGGGGTTGGGTCAGGCTGGTCTGTGCGGGGAGCTGGCGGTCGGTCTGTCGGTGGGGAACCTGAGGAGGCTTGGGTTCCCCCGTGGGGTGCTCCCCACAAGAGTAGTGCTGCTAGGAAGATGCGTAGCATCTTTCACAGGCTTGTCAGAGTGTGCTTTGTCGTCTCACTGCTTTGTTGCTGTGTTTGCTTTGGCAGCGATTGGCATCCACCAACAGCAAATGTATATAAAGAAAAGTTATGTCGCAAAGTGGCATGTGTGGTCATGTTCGAGCAAGGTCAAAAGCATCGGAATTGTCACCGTCGTCCTTCAACTGCAAGTTGCACATGCTGCACGCCATCGGACTCGTTCTCACATGCACTGCAGCTCATTCACGAGTTCGTCGGGGTGTGCTTGTGACATGCTGTTTCGTGTTGGTTCGGCTTTGTAAGAGAGTATGGATCTCGCATACTCCTACCTACGGGCTGGCTTGCTTCGACTGGTTTTTGCCTTGGCTGCTTTCCCCTTGTGCGGGGCTTTCTTGTTCGCTGGCTTGTCAGCGATGCTTCGCAGAAAGGTTTGGTCTGTGCCCCCCGGAGTGGGAGGTGCAAGGTTCGCAAGGCTCCCCTGCTTCCCACTGCTCCAAGGAACATCGTATTTTGCGATGAACGTGGCTTCATGGGCTGCCCAGGCCTCTCTGTCCTGTGCGAGCGAAAACCAACCTTTTCCGACGGTCTCGCTCAACTGGCGGTCAATGTCCATGTAGGCGTTGAAGCGATGTGCGTGTTGCACATCAATCCCCCTGTCCTTCTGTTCTTGCCACCATTGTAGACTGTGCCATTGGAATATTTTCCCCCCTACAGGGTCACCTCTGCATATATGTCCAACGGCTGTCCAGATTTGCGACAGGACAAAAGTTGACCACCGTGTTCCCCCGTGGTGGTAGAGGGCCAGGCGGCTTCGTCGGAGGCTTCGTTTGTTCCACGTTGCCCACTCTTCGCAGGGCTGTCGTCTCAGGCCCAGCATGGTCCTGACCTGAGAAAGCTGGATAGCATTCACCGCGCGTAGCAGGCTGCTATGGCAAGGCCACGTTTGGCAGGCCCAAAGGGCGCTCTGCCTGACCAGCACGACGTGGATCTGCAGTTTTTGCCGGAATGTAGCGTCTGATGTAAAACTTTCCCGATGTGACCAGAAGGCCTTCCTTGCTCGGGTTTGTGCCTCTGCCAGCAACATCGCGGTTCCCCCTTGGAACGAGAGGGGGCTGCCGAGGACGTAGAAGGCGTGCTCCGGCCCCTTTGTGGCGACAATTTCCCCCGCGACCTTGAAGGTGGTAGGTTTCTCGGACGTGCTGATGATGTCCGTTTTTTCCGGATGCAGGAACAGGCCTCGTCGTGGAAGTCGGTCGTGGAGGGCACTAAGCATGTGCTGGAAGTGCCTCTTGCTCACCGACCAGATGTAGTTGTCGTCCATATAGCTTCCCCCATCTTCGGGGGGGGCATCGTCTCCAGCGGGTTTGGCCGGTTTGGCGGTTCGAATTGCTGCGTCTAGATCCTCCGCCACTATGGCCCCGAAGGCCACAGGGCTTTCGGGTGCTCCTTGTCGGACGCCATTGCTTTGTTGAAGGGGGATAGATTCCCCCGCCACTTCGACGGTGATCTTCTGGGCATGCACCATCGCCACCCATGCTCGAGCCTCCCATGGCAGGTCTGCCTTTCCCCCGACAACGGAGGCGACGTGCTCGGCAAGGCTTTCCTGGTATATGGAGTCAAAAGCCTTGCGGATGTCCAATTTGGCAATGTAAAACTCTATGCCCCAGTCTCTGGCGACCCGGGCTAGTCGCCTCAAGATCATGATGAGTTCGACTCCTTGCCTGCCTCGTCGACACCATTGGAGTCTCGCCGGCGCCTGGAAGAAGTAGTTGCCCAAATGTTTTGAGCATGACTGAGCTCAAGGTTATGGGGCGAGTCTCCCCCCAATTGGAGGGCTGGGTGACCTTTGCCAGCAAAATGGTGACTCCGGCCTCGATGCTCGGCACAATGCGTGCCGTGTACAGCATGTCATTGAAAATGGCCAGGAGTCGTTCCCCCCAAATGGGGTGTGGGAGGATGGCCTTCAGTGCTTCGTGGGAGACCATGTCTGGTCCACACGACTTTCCGTTCCTCCACTTGTCCTTGACGGCCTGGAGGTCTTCGATGGTGAAAGGCTCCCACTTCTTGAATTTGCATGCCAGAGTGAGCTTGTCGAAGATTTCTCGTATTCTCCGGTTCACGGTCTGGCTGTCCTGCTTGTTGAAGATCTTTTCAAAGTGCTCGCGGAGTTTTTGTCGCCATGCCTCATCTTCCGTGAGTCCAAGCTCCCACGAGTGGTCACGAGATTGTTCTAAAAGGGCTTTCTTCATCCCCCAGTCGAGCTCGGCAACTTTCTGCATCGCCAGTCTTTTCCATCTTTTGTGCTCTGCCAGGTGCAGTCGTCGGGCATGTTTCCAGAGGTTACGTCGTCTGTCCCCCGGTGGGGTGGCAAGGGCCTCTCGCCGAACTTCTCGCAGATGTGCGCTCTCGGTGAATGGCGCCCTTTTCTTTCCTGGCTTCGTGATGGCAACTGCAACCTTCTGCAACTGTGTGACGGGATCTCCTCCAACACCAGTTGCCTTGTCGAGGATACGGTCCACCTGTCCCCCCTTGAGCAGTTGCCTTGCAGACCAGCTTGCAGGGTCTCGCCTCGTATTCGTGGCCAGGCGAATCTGTGCCAAAGGGACAAATACAGGCTCATGGTCTGAGGTTGCAACGTCACGCTGGGCAAGCACATCCCCCGAATCACACAGCAATCTCTTAACAAAAATGTAATCGAGTCTGCGAGGAAGGAGTTCAGTGTTGTATGGATAATGGCTTGCTTTGTGGAGCTCTTGCGATGGTAAGTGGAAGCACTCCTCATCGAGCCAGTCTAGGAGGAGTTCCCCTCGAGCTGTTGCTGCTTTGATTTGCTTATTCTGGCTTGCATAGGCAAGAGTTTCGTTTGCATCAATGCCGATGACCGCTTTGCTGTGGAATGTGGTGTGGTGGTGCAGTTCTTGCAGGATTTGCTCAGTAGTTGAGAGTGTGGCGTGGTGAGGGATATGAACTGAAAAAGCTCCCAACCTGAAGTCCAAAGAAGTAAGCGTACACGACAAAGCGCCATGCAAGATCTTTCCCCGGGTGTGCTGCATGTTGGCGGTGTGCACAACGGCGTTCCCCCGCCAGTCCTCGGAACGTTTGCCGAAGATCATCTGCAGCTCATCCAGGGCTGCATGTTGTTTCCCCGTCTCGCAGATGACCTCTTGGATCAACACGATCAGGGATCCTGAAAAAGGTTGAATTCGATGTCGCCGGAGTGCAAGGAGGACGTCCAGTACTTTCGCAGAGGTAAGTCCCCCGACATTCCAGCTGATCACGTGCACTTTGAGCTGCGGTTCCTGGGCCAAAGTGGCCGCCCGCTTTTTTCGCCCATGTCAGGCGAGGGCTTTGCGCAGGTCCCCCCAGCGGGAGGTAGCAGTTTCCTCCGATATGCCGATTTGGCGAGCCAGGGTGCCGAGGTGGACCCAGCCTGCTTTTTCGGCTGTGGCGCCTTCAGGGGCCGAGGTCACCCCCGATGCGAGCTTCACGGTGTTGTACCACAAGTTTGCCGTGCCGTACTCGACTTCGATCTTCCGTGGATCGCCTCCTTCTTCGATGATGAGTCTTTTGACTTTCCCAGCCAACTGTGCGCGACGGCGTCGTTCGGGACTTTGGCTGAGGGCCGCGAAGAAGTAGCGGTTTCCCCCTTCGGGTCGCTGTCCTGTAACAATCTTCGCGGCTCTCACGGTCTTGAGGATGTCCTGGACTCGGGTTCTTTGCTCGTCGTCGCTCTCCCCCTCGAGTTTTGTGAGAGGGACCAGGGCAAATCCCCGGCGAAGGCCAGGCACAAATGCCTTCTCAATGTCGAGGTTCACGTTGAGTTCGGTGAGGTGCTGCTTCACGAGCCTGAGGGTGTCTTCGTGGTGCTGGTCGGCTTCCCATCCCCCGACCACGAGGGCAGGTCGGGGGTTCCCCCCATCGGTCTCTGAGGTACGAGTGCTGGAGAGTGAGAATGTCGCTTTTGCGAACTTGCCTTCAAGGAGTTCCAATCTCTGGAGCATCTCCCCCTGTCGGGTGTCCACTTTTCGCACGCTCTCTTCCATGGCACAGTGTCGATCTGTCATGGCCTCAAGGAGTTTGGTTGTATTGCAGACGTGGGTCTCGACCGTGAGTTCGACAGTGCTGACCCGATTTGCTAGGCCATCCATGTCTTCACGAACCTGGGCTACGATCTCCTCGCGGTTGTCCTTCAAAGCTGCCAGGAGGGAACTGAGGGTCAAAGGCTTGTCCCCCTCGTCATCTTCGGCCTGAGCGGGCCGCTTCCGTCCCCCGCCAGGTGGGGCGCTGCTGGGTTCTGCCTGCATAGGTGAAGATGGCGATCTTGTCGTTCCTGCCATTACTCAGTCAGGTAGGTGCACTTCCCCCTCACCCAGCCTGCAGGTAGCAGAACAGTGTCGCGTCGCTATCCCCCGCCCACGTAGTGTCGCCGATTGCCTCGAGGAGGAGGTTTGGCGATGTCCCGAAGCAGCAGCGCGTGGCCACCGTACTGGAGCAAAGCCCCCGATCTCGCGGCCCTCAAGGTTCAAGGTGTACTCGCGTAGTATGGCACACTCCCCCGTCAGCTCGATCGCACACTCACTGCACGGTCGCTCACGCCTCTCTCGTCAAACTGCACTACAGTTGCTCCCCTTTGTTTAATCACTGGGCTCGGGGCTCGAACCACTCGCGGCTTGAGCCAAAATGGCTACTCTCTCTCTCTCTCTCTCTCTCTCTCTCTCTCTCTCTCTCTCTCTCTCTCTCTCTCTCTCTCGCTCTCCTCTCTCTCTCTCTTCTCGCTCTCTCTCTCTCTCTCTCTCTCTCTCTCTCTCTCTCTCTCTCTCTCTCTCTCTCTCTCTCTCTCTCTCTCTCTCTCTCTCTCTCTCTCTCTCTCTCTCTCTCTCCTCTGTCTCCTGGGCATAGGGACGGGTCAACGTCCCCATGCCGAACAGCCCACCCAGCACCTTGAGTGGATATATGGGGAGTGAGAAGAGAGTGGAATGTTTCTCGGTAGTGGCTATGACCTGAAGGAACATCCCACTCTTGTAGAAACTTTTCTCGAGGAGCTTTTAGGTCCCCCGAAGGACAGGTCAAGGGAATGGCAAAAGTTTATGTCGGTTGAATTTAGTTATCCCTACAAGACCACGCATGCATCTGAGCGAGTGGTGCATGGATGGAGCGAAAGGCGCGAGAGCCTGATTACAAATCGGATTACAAGTCTTCTCGAAAGGTCCCCCCGCAGGGGTCTCAGGAGTTTTGAAAAAAGTTTGAAGCGGAGAGCAGCCGAAGCTGCCATTGAAAAGGTATCTGAGTTGAGCGCTCTCTCTCTCTCTCTCTCTCTCTCTCTCTCTCTCTCTCTCTCTCTCTCTCTCTCTCTCCTCCTTCTCTCTCTCCCCCTCTCTCCTCTCTCTCTCTCTAGTCTCTCTCTCTCTCTCTCTCTCTCTCTCTCTCTCTCTCTCTCTCTCTCTCTCTCTCTCTCTCTCTCTCTCTCTCTCTCTCTCTCTCTCTCTCTTTCTCGCTCTTTCTGCCTTTCTCACACACTCTTGTTGTCTTTTCTGGATCTGTGCTCATGGTGCCGTTGGCACCCGAGCCAACGGCTCGGATTTCGGAGGTCGTGACCTTGGCACACACAGCAAAACAAGAACGCAGCTGAAAACAAAGGAAGTTCCCGACCTCGGTGGGCACTCGCGGATGACAGCCTGTCCATGTGCCGGGAGCGGTTCGAGCAGAGGCGAGAGCTTACTGAGCCTCGAGAAGCGGTGTGTCAATTTCGTTTGCTAGCTGCATACTGTGTGGCATGAGGTCTCGAGGCTGGAAACCTGGAAACTAATTACTTGACAGAAGCAGTACTGTTGCAGTCACCCACAGCGGGCGATCTGCAACAGTCGCCTAATGGAAAGGGTGTACGCAGAACCTGGAAGACACAGTGCAGTAGTTTGCCTCAGATGCAGGGAACTCCACCCAAGATCTCCAACCCGCCGAATCGTCTCTATGACTCTATGCCGAACGGAGAGCAGGACCTGTGGGCGGGCATTGGAAGCTGGGTGTAGGAGTGTTCCACGTTAGCTAAGTACCATTTCGTGCGAGGTCTGGTGGCTGCAAGTCTAGAAGAGGAGCAAGTTTATGCGTGAAAGCGAAGGCACAGACTTGCTGTAGTGTTTACTTCGCGAGCACACTTATCGCAACCAAGATAAGGAGCATCCTCGAGTGTAGGAAGTCCAGTACAGCAGGATTTTCTGTTAGCTGCAAACATTATGGTGTGAAGTGAGCAGGATGCGATAGCTGAAGAACAAAAGCGCCGTGACAGGCGACCACTGGGTCCACCGTCGTTCCGGGTGAAGTGTCAGCAGCTTCATGGCAGTTGCTTGACGAATGCTTCCAAGCTGGGGTCAGCTCCACTGCGCTCGGAACCAAGCAGAAACTCAGGAGAGGATTCTTCTGCCGGCCCGCCCCGCACCGAGTGTCTTCGCGGCTCGACGCTTAAGAGCTCTCACGGCAGGGCCGAATCCATGCGTCCGTCATCAGCACGCATCCTGACATTCTGAAAACAATCCTCTTTCACGCAAACTCTGAGCCTGCATACGTCGGTCGTAACATGGTTATTCCATGCACTCAAAGCTACATGTCCAAAAGCTACCAAACTGTTCAATCAAAATAAGGGTACGAGTACAAACACAAAATTTGATCACCCCGCCCAAGTGCGTGTTGCACCTGAGCACTCGTATTTGCATCAACAACAGTACGAGTACGTTTTGCAGTAGCGGACCTAAGTAGCTAAAGGTTTTATGGCGTGTTGCCATTCTGCTAGGCTCAACTGTACACTACGCGACCACTCCATCCACAAGCTAGGGTCAGCTTGGGACGAAATGTTTCTTGACAGACGCAAGAGGACGCCATTCATGCGGGCTAATGCGCATGCTGCGCCCCACATGTGCTTTCTCTTCAAGATAGCACTCCGAAGATTGTCACGGCCTAGTTACCGTGAGGAAGCTCATCACGATACTTCCATGCGGGTTCAGGCTGCTCCACAGCCATCGAAGTTGATCCGGAATGACCAAGATTGACACAGCAAAATGCTGTGTTGGCACGTGATGCACAAATGCATCGCTGCGGTATTCAAGAACACTGGCCCCCACATCCGTTCAAGCTCAAGTAGTCTATCTACAATCATCCGTCAACGAAGTGTTCCCGAAGGCTCACGCCGCTGACTATGTACAAAGATGACCAATGCATCTGCATCATGAGCATATTTCAAGTGGGTCACCAGCGTCACAAGAAAGTGCTGGTTCGTTCATTTCTGTTTGCGATTGCCTCCAAAGCATCGCCCACATGGCTGGTAGCCACGTTCCTTGGCCTCTGCTAAGCCAAGTCGCAGGATCTCATCAGCATTGTTCAAGCATGTGCATCCGCGCTTTGCATGGTAAGCTTTGCCTCGCCTTGCAGTGCAATAAACATGCAACTCTGGCGTATGCCCTGGCACTGTGGCATTGCCCACACGCCCACTGGTGGATGCAACTTGCAACGGTACACCTGATGATGACGCTGATGCACTCTCTCGTGCATGGTGCTCTGACCACATCATGCGGTCATAGTCCATTTCATTGATGACTCCTTGCAAGCGATCGGTCTCATGCCTTTCTGCCACCAGCAAGAATCTCAACTTGCGTAGCTGCATCATGAGCATCAAGCACACAAGCGAAGGCACACCGCACAGGATTGCGGCGATCACACTCCATCGCCCATACTCTGGCACAGACGTGCTCGGCTCGGCACTGGTGGTCCTATACGCGCTTGCATCGTCCCTGCGGCGATCGGCCCGCAGCCGCTCAAGGCTCAGCATGACGCCCAGCAGAGACACGAGGATGACCAAACCGGTCACCCAAACGCTGAACCATCTTGCCTCTGGTTCTGTCTGAACACTCACATCACGCCTTGTGCCACTTGCATCTGCACCTGCAATCAAGCTCACCATCATCAAAACAAGATTGCTGTTGCTCAAACCATTGGTCTTCAGCGACTTGTTGATCAGTCGCCGGACACGGGCTGTGTCCTTGCAGTGTTGCAACGACTCGATCAACTGATCATAGTCGGCACGGCCTACCTCCTGGATGCAATCACCGGCACAGTCAACGAAGTCATGCATGCAAAGCAATGCTCTCAAGCGACTCCCAGTTGCCGGGACCTTGGTTCCAAGATCTGACGGGTTCCATCGCCCGTCGACTGAGCCAACTTTCAGCGTTCCATCTGCCGTCTTTTCCTGCACCCAGAGGAACCTTCCATCAAGATGCCTGATCTTTGATACACCCTGCTTCAAAGATATCTGACGACAGCTCTGGTTGTCAGTCCGCATCCAAAGGTCCACCGGTAGTTCAAGCAGGTATTCAAGAACTCTTTTCAAGTAGATCCCATCGCACGACGCGGAAACCAGAGCATAAAACTCGCTCTCAGTGCTGCTGAGGCTCACGCAACGCTGGCTTTTGCAAGAAGTGTATATGCAGCAACTGTTCAGAAAGAATGAGCTGCTGCTCATCGAGCGGCGATTCTGCTTGTTGCCGCTCCAGTCTGCATCACAGAACACCTCCAGCATAACTCCATCACGCGCTCCACCAGGATCGGAAGGCTCAAGAATGCTAAGCTTGTCACCTCGGGCATGCACCTTGCTTGCGTAACCTGTGGTGCACGCCAAGTACGATGCCAACCTCTGACCCGAACTCCAAGTTTGCACTGTCGGCTCTCGGAGCTTCTGAGACAGGACCCTCACTGTGAAGGCAACGTCGGGTCGATCCTGGGACACGTACATTGCAATCCCGATTGCGCTGCGGAAGCGCGCAGCCTTCGAACTGTCCAGCAACTTGCTGGTGTCGGGCACCAAAATGTCCTTTGTGCACGGCGTCGGCACTTTCTTGTGCAGTGGCACTTCAAGATGATTGCACATGTTCACTGCATGATCAGACAATGGCTTGAACACAGGCAAACCGAACGCCTCACCCCCGGCCAACGGAGTGGGGAGCAGGGGAGCAACCCTGATGGGGCAGGGGTCGACTCCTTAGGTAAGGCAAAAAATCTCCCTAACATGACAAGCACGGATGGCCTCCCCTCCTGGTTGGGAGCTGAAAGCAAGCCACAACACTGGACCACCCCACCCGGCACTTTAGCCCATGTGCCCGGGTGTCATATGCCACAGCCCTGGCACGTTGGCCTCAAGGCGGTCCAGATGCCTCGATGCACTCGAAGCCGCACACCCGGCCAGCGGTGTGCACGGACCGATGGGCTGTCGAATCCGCGCGGGTACGGCAAGGTTCCCGTCCCTCCTGGTTGGGAGCTGAAAGCAAGAGAAATAATAGCAAGTGAATCGACAATAATAAGGATTGAAGCCGAGACTAAGAGCGAGGCTCCGAACCTCTCGGCCTACTATCCGGACTTCAGTACTACTTAACGCCGACTAATGAAGACAGTGACAGGCCGGACCACCGGATTGAGGCCGAGAGATGGGGCAGGGGTTTACTCCTTACGTAAGGCAACCCCGAAGAGGTTCGACTGGCACTCTGCCTCGGCACTCTGCCTCTGTCGTCGATCCAAGAGAACAGAAAGCATGTGCTCAGCAGAAAGAGATATAACCTAATCATGGGTTAGCGGCCTCCCCCATTTGCTCTTATTTCCAACTATTCAGGTAAGGCATACACATAGCAAGTGCAACAAAGCTCGGCAGTCGGACTCCTTCTTTTGCAATCCAAAGCGGGGTGTGTTCGGTGAGTACGCAGCTAAAGAAAGGTGCACACACCAGCATGGATGCACACATCCGGCAAGATGACCGGCACACCGTCATCACTCACCCACCCCAAGGGAGGGCGGGCGGGACAAAAATTTCTCCCAAGCTGCACACAGCCAAAACTGCAACATCAAACATGTATGTTGAGCAAGTCGTCAAACACCACATGCTTCAAGTCATGCAAACATGTCGCCGGCAGTCTGCAAAATAAAAACAGCAAAGGCGACACCGACAGAGAATAGTTTGGGAAATAAAATGCTGTCTCGCAAGCGAGAAGGCTTATTTATTTCCAACTATTCAGGTAAGGCATACACATAGCAAGTGCAACAAAGCTCGGCAGTCGGACTCCTTCTTTTTCAATCCAAAGCGGGGTGTGTTCGGTGAGTACGCAGCTAAAGACTGGTGCACACACCAGCATGGATGCACACATCCGACAAGATGACCGACACACCGTCATCACTCACCCACCCCACTCCAGGAGATGACGGTTAGGACAGGGTTATGATGGACTGCACCAAGCTGTCGAAAAGAGCTCTCACGCTCGGCTCTGTAGCTGCACGACTACGAGGAAGCATACTACAGTCCTTACCTCTACTGGGGTGGTCTGCCACATTGCTGCACGACGGGACACGTGCCAGCCAGGGCAGCACTGTGTGCGATTCACAAGTCTTAGCGAAGATATGACAGATCCGCGTGATAGACCAAGACGATGAGCAGCCTTTGATGAGCGAACTCCGGGCACCTTCATTGTCGAGGTATGCCACGCATTCGGTGGACTTCAAGTGTTCCTCCCACAACTGGAATGCGAGTACAACCGCAATCGCTTCCAACTCGCCGATGCCTGTCTCGGCTTTCAAGGGCAGCAAAGGGCGAATGTCGGTGCTCTTCAGGAGCAGTGAAAACCACCCAACTACGGAACCCGAAGGCGAGATCAACACGCCACCTGGACCTAAACCTCCGGTATAGTCAGGCTCAAAACTCGCATCGGTGTACACGAACCATGGCAGGCCTAGCGGCTTATGAATCCTTCTGGGTTGTCCTTCAAGTATGCGAGCCATCAGAAAGCTCAGTGCATTAGTGGTGGCAGCACTCAACTTCGGTACAAAAGGGTATGCATGCACGTGTGCGCTGACGTGCTTGAGGGCGTAATGCCCGGCTTTACCCATGACCTGCGAGTTTGCAAAAGCAAGTTTGCCACGCAACTCCATGCCACCCTTATAAGAGAGAAGGCCCTTGACAAGCACGTCTGAAACCAAAGCATGGATGTCCTTCTTCCTCTTCTCGGTGTTGTCCACCGTGACGACACCATCCCCGCTCTCAGACAAGTCGAAGTGCAATCCAAGAGCCGAGACGTCTCGAGAGAAGGTGTCGGCTTTCGGGCCCACTGTGTCAAATACCCACCTTAACAACTGGAACAGAAGCTCCATCGTGCTTCCAGTGTTGTCTGCTAGGCAGTCGGGCGACGCGACTATGAAGTCGTCGTAATATGAAGTCGTGGGCACAAGGAGGCAGCGCGTCGCTAACCATTGGATGCACCGAGAGCACCTGATAAAGCCGTTGACCGATGCTCGGGAACCGAACGGGAGGCAAATTTGTGTGAAAAGGCATGTCTTCCCCGTGTGAGGGTTGTAAACGGCAATCACGGCAAACTTTCTGGAGGCAGTGGAAACACATAGCTGCCGATATGCAGCGGTCAAGTCGAAAGAACGGCCTTTGATCCAAGAGGGTCGCTTGGCTTTTCCGAGTCCCTCGCACAGTTTGGCAAACATGGCAGCCGCCACATCTGCAGTGTCTACTGTGGGCTGCTCTAGCGTGGTAACACATGCATTCACCCCGCTTCGGCTGTAGTCGTCAATGGGCCGCAGCTTGTCGTGCTGCCACAAAGGGAAACGATGCGATACGACATACCCGTCGGGCAAGTCATCCCAACCATATGGGCCCACGAGCCAGCCCCTCTCTACCTCCTGCATCGTCTTTTCCCACAACTTCAAGTCGGTGGCGTGATCACCCGATGAACCAAGCGACATCCGAAGGGCTTCATTTGCGCGGCCCGCGGCAGCGCTGACATCGTCTGGGTGGAGGGATGCTGGAGACACTTTCCCAGGCAGCACGTTCGACACCGGCGATGTCCCCACGAGGTCGAAACCTGATCTTATGTCACTAGCTAAGCTCACATCCTCATAGCCCTCGCCCGCGATAATCTCATCCAACAGCTGCAGACGCTTGCTTCGCAGCACCTCCCTCATGTGCGAGTCCTCGACTTCCCAAATAGGGTCAGGACGCACACCTATCTCAGCAGCACGGGCAGTCCACTTATCCAGCCACTGCTTGCGCCGCTGGACGATGGCACTCGGTGGGGCCTTCGCCACCAGATCTATGCAAGACTCAAGATGTGCTGGCATCGAGTCGATCATCGCTTTAGGGTGACCCGCCTTCACGGCTGCACGCACGAACTCGCTTTCAGTATGATACACGCCAAACGTCACGGTACACTTCTCTCGATCCCGCTCCTTGGCAAGACCAACCTGTGGGTCGTTAGCCATCTCGACCTGAGGCGGCGCAATGGCTGGCAGGATCGATGGGTTGTGACCTGGCAGCGGAAAGCCCAGGTCTAGAAGAAGCCTAGTGTCACACTGTTTCAGCGACGAAAGATTTCTCGGAGTGAAGCCGATCAAGACGATTCTTGATCCAAGCCAGGGCATTGTGCAATGAAAGCGGTGTGCATCAAAATGCACGGGGCCCTCGCAAACTTGCAGGACACGGCCTCTGGATTGGCCGCATGGCGTCATCCGGGAATGATTGCCCTCGTCATCTTGCACCCAAATGCCTCCATCTTTGAAAGAGGTGAGGGGAGCAACGTAGTTCAGTGTGCCCTCCAAGTTATTCGAATCCTTGTGCATCGGAGTGCAAACGTTGGAATAAAAAGCAATCGTCGCGAAGCACGCACCTGGGAAGCAACCACGCAAGTACCTGACAGCAGCAGAGACAACACGAGGGAAAGCTCTGGTATGCTTCCGCAGACCACATAGCTTGTTCTGGGAATAAGCTCCCGCAGTCCAAGCTTTCTCACGAGCATCATCAACGCCACGTGCTGGCACTTCGGCTGGCAGGGCCTCGAAGATACTGACAAGGCTGCTGGCATCCACCCTAGCATCAAGATTCGAATCCAGCATCTCTGCTTCACACTCGGTCGTGCATAGCAGCGAGCCTGAACATGTAGGGCTTAAAGCTAATGGAGCAGCACCGCCTAAACCCGAAGGGGAAGAAGGGAAGGCGGGAGAACCACAACCAGGAGGTGCTGCTCGCCCATCAGATTGCACGCAAGGGGTTGTATCGGCATCGCAAGAGGGATGAACACTATCACCGGCAGCACCCACTAGACCCGAAGAGGAAGGGAGGGCACCGGCGAAACCACAAGGAGGGGGTGCTGCCTGCTGCACACCACCTGACATGTTCGAGGCATCTGGATTGTGTTCGTCGAGCGATGTTTCAACCTGCGAAGTGCGGTGCACTTGGTTGCAGATCAAACCTCCCCCTTCTACAGGATCGGCAGCCAGCTGAGAAAGAGGCGGCACAAGCTTGGAACCAGCAGGCACAACAGTGTCCTGCACGCGAAGAGTGGTCAGCAGCCGGTTCTTGGAGTCCAGAGGTGGACATTGCGGCACGGCAACTTGCACAAAACGCTTAAATTCTGGAACGGGGGCCAGAGGGAATCGGCGCGGTTGCATCCCTGTAGCAACCTGAGCTGCAGCAAGCGGTGGCACTGGCGGAGTGCGAACATGCAGATGCTCAAGCATGACCGATGCAAGCGCACGGTAGAGTTGCCCCAGCGCAATATCGGTGGAAGGCTTTTGGCGACTGGCAGCCGCAAAGCTTGCACAGGACCGAAGGACGAGTGGCAGGGAGGATGCAAATCGAATGCAACCCGGTGTTGTAGAGCCAAAGGCTTTAAGATCGATGTCGACTGATGATTCCAGTAAGCTCTTACCGAAGTCTGTTGTCCAGAACGATGACCTCGAGGCAGCTTCCACCGTCCAAGAGGTTCCGGTATCATTGCAGTGTTTCAAAAGCTGAGAGATTGTGTACACACACCGGTCAGCATCGTCACAAGAAGGATGCGAAGATTTCTGACGACTTGGAAAGATAGAACGAGGGCACCTGATATGCACCCAAGCACATGAGGGTTCACGGGCCCATGACGCACAAAGGGCCAGGCAATTCGGAGACAGAATATCCATTGGAACGATCGGTGCCGCAGCTGCCTGTGAGCAACCCTTGCCAACTGCAAAGGAGTTTGGCAACCCCATTCGGAGACAACCACACATGCAGGCACGACGAGCAAAAACTTCAACGCAAAATGCGCTTGCACTGCAAAATTTGCCGTCATCTGACGGCTGGCACTGTTGTTGCACAGGTGCCTCACACTCTTCGGGAACAACATGTGCAATGAGGTCACCTGTGCACACTGCATGTCACTCAGAAGAGGCCGACTCATGCTCGGACATGGGATGCGATTTGTAACAGCCCGGCTTGCAACACACATGCTTGAACTTGCATTTCGCACCTGCCTTGCACTTTCCAAGATTAAAGTTGAAGCAGATGGGTTTGTTGTCGGGCGTCCGCGAGTGCATACCCTTCAAGGCATCTGGTATCGGGTCGCGGGTAATCTTCAACTTCTTGTTTTTGCCATCACCTGTTGTGTCATGAGTGCGCTTCCTTCCATTGCCTTTGTCGCCGGGCTTGCCGGAGCCCTTGCCCTTACCTTTGACAGGTAGCAGAAAGTACATGACCGATTGGTTGTACTCTAGCTTCTCAAACTCTTTGTCAAGCGGGAGCACGCCTCTTGCGTCAGGCTTCAGATTCCCATTGCACGTGCGAGCAAGCTCAAGAAAACATTGCCGGTCTGCCCTCAGCACCTGTGCTCTCGAGACCTTCTGGAATTCGGTGGCGGGTGCGAAAGAGCCGTTCATTCCACTTCTGCACCGTGTCATAAGAAGCCAAGCCAACAAGGTCCATGGCCAATGCCCGTCTCATCATGGCCTGATAAAGTTTATAGCTGCAAATCGCTGTCGACCGACATGGTGGCCAGGGCTTCCTCATCCTTCACCACAATGCCCATTTTGTTAGCATCGAGCTGCAAGGCTTTGGGCGGCTTCTCACAGCAAAGCTCAGCATCACGGGTGATGCACTCACCTGGGGAGAGGTATTTCAGCTCATCGTTCTCGCGCATGTCCGCGAGCTTGTCATACACGCAGTGGGCTACTGACAAAGGGCCCTCCAACGGGAGGCCCTTAAGGCGTTGCTTCTGATCTTCGATGCGCATTGAGCGCTCCGACGCCGGAAGCTTCCGGGACACCTCGTCACTGGACTGCATGGTAGCTCGGAGCTCTGCAACCGTCATGGTCTGAGCTTCGAAGATAAGCTGCTTTATCGCGGAACTGTCACCCAAAGAGACTCTTGCACCGGGCCTCAAAGTAGCAGTGAAGTTATCCATCTCGTCAGCCGTGGGTTGCGTCCCTGGGAGCGAAACTGCATAGCTCAACTTACCCAGTGTCGTGATGCCTGAAGCTTGCATGGCGGCGATCCACTCCGCTGCCAAACCCACTCTTTCACATTGCTTGTCGAAAGCTGCAGCCGAAGTAAGAATTGAAACCGCCGCCATCCCGCAAGGTCACCAATCTCTACACCGCAGAGAAGTACAATTTGTCAACAAGGATCCTGGCCTGATCGAGAGAGAAGATGCAAGCTCCCTTGTCCGAATGCACACAAAGCTGTCGAAACACAAGTGAACAAACGATAGCATGGACATGACATGTCTACCGTAGGCCTCAGCCATAACTGGTGCATTCACAAAGCTCATGAACTGGTGCTGACCATTGCCCAAGCACAGTAAGACACCAGCTAGACAGTGCATTCACTCATGAAGCACATGCTGCACACAGCATGGACATATCAGACTGCACACAGTCGCAACCGCACGTCGAGAACGTTTTCATACGCAGCTCACACTATCTGCGATCCATAAGCTCGTTGAGCTTGTTGGCCAAAGCCCCTTGGGAGGCCAGCAGTTCGCCCTTCCAGCACACTGCACATCTAGTCCACTTAAAGTAAGCACCCTCAAGCCACCTGTACACAGTGGTCGTCCGTCGACCACAACGGGTCCTACATGCTGACTTGTCGCCCTGGGCGCGATGCAACATCCTAGACTTGACGTGCTGCCAACAAGGTTCGTTGATCTCATAGTCCTGGTTGACTCCGCATCTCGAAACCAACTGTTCCTCAGTTTCACTGGTCTCGGAAGAGCTAGAGCAAGAAGAGGAAGACGAGCTTGCCTGCGACAGGGCAGCATCCTGCGGAGGTGTCGCAGGCACATTACTTGCCTGCGCATCCGGAGACGGTGCACGATCCCCAGGCATTGGCGAACGCACTGAAGGTGGGCTTGCTGAACCGTTATCAACCCGATCCCAAGAGCCGAAGTCTAGATCTTGCCCAAAGACCGACGAGTCAGGGGCACGGTTGAGTGAGCGGTAGTGCTCCAACTCGCCGTGTTCATCGAGATCATCGCCTTGCACAGCTCCGCTTGCCGCGGACTCTTGAGCATGCACAGTCGGAGCTTCGAAGGGGCACGCATCCTTGGGGTCATCAAGAAAAGAATCCCGAAAGGCACGCAGATTCTCGTCACCTTGTGAGGCTAGCCATCCAGAACGGGTCGCATCGGGCTTGAAAATGTTTGTGCGGACCTCCCATAACATTCTACGGTAGGCTCTCAGCGGTGCGCTCAGTAATTCACGGCTGTAACAGGCAAGGGAACTGGAGCCTGTCGCATGATGACCGAGCAGAAGGCCCTCGCGCTCTCCGAAGCCCCGTTTCCCCGTCCAGGCCAAGGTTGTCCCTTTGAGCACATGTGACGTGCGACGGCTATCACCTTCCAAGCCTAGGGCGTTGCAAAGCATCGAGCCCGCTTCACTCGAGGTGCATCTCCTCTTACACAGCTTGCCGGAACTGTCCGGGGCCCGTACGAGGGGCCCAAAAGGCACTTCCGACCAATCAACCCCAAGCCTCTGACCCGCCTGCCACCAAGCCTTGACCCAGTTGGCATCGGTCACGCCTGGGAAGGGTGCTACAAGCGGCATGGCCCGACGCTTGGTCCGCACCGTGTTGCTGGTCTTATGTTCACGGGTCCTCGCCTCGACGAAACCTGAGGTACAATCAGCATCATCGAAGTCGATCCAGATCGAATTAATTTTCTTCAGGTCCGACCATCTCGATCTGCTGTAAAGAGCAAACAACTCGCCCCCAAGAACGTATGTATCGACATCACAAAGAGCCTCGCTAGCCACAGTCTTTTCAAGCTTCGCCACAAGCTCAACTTTCAAGGGCTCCTGTTGTTTAACCTCGGGTTTTTCACCAGCAAGTCTCCGGGCCCTGCCCTGCAGTCGACGGTCGTTAAGCAGATCATCGCAGAATGGCACATCCATCACGTGGTGAGCAAAATTGATGGCCTCAAAAAGACTGCTCACCGCGCTTGCAGACTCTCCAAGTGACTTCACGAAGGCAGTGACAGACTCTCGATCCCAAGGCCACGTCACACTTCTCTCCTTTTGATGCCACCTGAGACATCGCAACAAGGCGTTGGCGCGTTTGATCGCTGTACGGGGCGAACGCAGACCGAAGACGTCCCTGAGAAGTTCGTCCCTGGCTTTTTTCACCTTCTGCAACCAAACACTGGGCTGCCTGCACACCGACTGAACCTGGATCCTCATTGGCAAGGGTGAAGATGCAGCACCACTTATTGATAGCCAAAACCCACAAATGCTCTTCCTCCTCCTCAACTGGCACATCTGCTCGCGCATGAAATGATCTCTCAAACAAGCTGGCAGGAGCAGCACGCACTCGAGCTGCTTTGTCCTCGAACGAGGGTTCGGAACCGGAGGCGTCAGGAGGAACAGGAGCCCTGGGCTGTGCAATGGCAGGCTTCGGTAATAAGCCATCTCCAAAGATGCAAGACATGACACCGGATTCCCAAGGTAACCTAGGGAGAGAATTGCTTAGACCACTGATCCTGGCTTGAAGCAACATGCGATCAATGTCAGCGTCGCAGAGCCTCGCCTCACTCCCCCCCCCCCGAAGAAGAGGAGAGGCCGCGAAAACTCGTTGCATCGCCTGCAGGCGGCATTCGGTGAAGCGAAGCAGAAAGCAAGGCTAATCCTCGATGGAGTAATCCGAAGAGTCACTAAACCCGACAGGGCAAACCCAAAAGAGGCGATGCTGCAGGCGAAGCGAAGCACAGGTCACTCTCAAGGAGCGACTGCGGTGGGTCCTCAAAAAGGCAACAATGCACTGCCAGAGCTCAGGCTGAGCTGCCACAAGCAGCAGAACAGGCCCCCTTCGGCTGCTCGAGTCCATCCGCTGGTCACACGAGACCAGCTTGCACACCCTCTAAGAGGGAACGTCAGAAGAGGGGCCTGGTTAAAACCGAGAGCAGTTAGGGACTCAGGCCCAAGTTGAGACAAAAATTTCTCCCAAGCTGCACACAGCCAAAACTGCAACATCAAACATGTATGTTGAGCAAGTCGTCAAACACCACATGCTTCAAGTCATGCAAACATGTCGCCGGCAGTCTGCAAAATAAAAACAGCAAAGGCGACACCGACAGAGAATAGTTTGGGAAATAAAATGCTGTCTCGCAAGCGAGAAGGCTTATTTTTCCTCCCGCCCGTTCGGTTAGTTGGAATGCCGCTTCGGCTGAGGAGTGGCAGGCATCATGGCTATGCTGATTTCAGACTGCTGATTTCAGACTGCTGATTTCAGACGAAGCTGACTTCAGACGGCTGATTTCAGACTGCTGATTTCAGACAGGTTCAGCAGCAACTACAGCACGAACTCATCGAAGGCATAGTCTGCGAAGCCTAGTGTTTTGTCCGTGGCGGAAGTGCAGCTACTATCGGAGCCAGGCCCCGAAGAACATCAGCGTCCACCACACCCGGGTGTTGTTCTTCGATGCCTTCATCAAGCGGGAAGTCAGCCCTTGCAAGATCCCATTTGGTCCACATATAGTGGTGTACCTGCCTGAGCGGATCCTGCCAATTTTGCTTGGTGAACGTCTTCGAGAAGCTTTTCTTTCCAAACTCTTCCACCCAGTATGTGTGTGTCGCCTTGAACTCGACGGCCCATCTGTAATCGTTGTGCCTAAGAGTCACGCGAGCTTGCGGAGCACATATTTGGTTAAGAAGTTCCATTGGAGAGCTGTGAATTCTCGGTGCACCCCGACGACTGGGACCAGGTACCACAGAATCCTCCTCAGCTGAATAGTGTTAGGGGCGAGGTCTGAGGGAGCAGGGAGTTTCAATTCACAAAACAGACAACTCAAGTTGATACGCAGCTCAACATAGAGCAAAGAATATTTAGTCCCAAGGGCTGCATCGGATGGGGCAGGACCGGCACTGGGAGCAGGCAGGCTGCTGGAAGCGGCAGCATTCTGAGGGCCAGCCTGAACTCAGCACCCGACACTGGAAACCCGATACCTAGACCCACAAAAGGCAAGCCCCTGAAGGCTGAAACCTAAAGCCCAAACCAGACCATATTACCAAGATACTTCAAAATACCCTAGCCCAAACCTTAGCACAAAAAGATTGGGTTCCTCCGTTCCTCCTTTCGGCCACGGGCTTCCTCTGCGGCCTCGTCTTCGACCTTCCAGATCGGGCTTTGGGTTTTGGGTTGGGTTGAGGAGCCCTCAAGCCGAAACCTTAAAACCTCAACCCCTCGCCCTAGGATACCCCCAAACACTAAACCACAAATAGGCTTCCTTTTGTAGGCGACGGTCCATATGGGGCTTCCAGATTGGGATTTGGGTTTGGTACTTAAGGTTGGGGATAGATCGTTTCGCGCCCTCAAGCCTTACTCGACTCCTTCTCGGCTTCCTCCTCTGGGCGACGGGCTTCCTCTTCATCAGCCTTCCAGGTTGGGTTTCGGGTTTGGTACTTCGGGTTGGGGATTGATGGTTTAGAATAGAGCCACACCCTCACCACCAGCACCACCAGCACCTAGAGCCCTCAAGCCTACACCCGAAATCCTACAACACAAACCTGAGCCATATTGCCCAAATACCCGAGCCCAAACTAGTCATAGTTAGGCTGCAATCTCGACTCCTTCAAGTGGGTTTCCTCCTCTCGGCCACGGGCTTCCTCTTCGGCCTTTTCTTCGGCCTGTCAGATTGGCTTCCGGGAATAGGGTTTCGGTTTGAGGGTTGAAAGCCCAAGCCCAAACCAAACCTACACCACAACTCCCAAGATACCCTAGCCCGAACCCTACACAAATCACACAAAAGTTTCAAACTCGACAATGGCTTTGTCCTCTCGGCGGCGGGCTTCGTCTTTGGTTTCGGGTTTAGGGTTTGGGGGTTTAGGGTTGAGAGTTCTAAAGCCTAAACCGAAAAACCTAAACCGAAAACCCTAAACCCAAAAGCCTGAACCTCCACCCTAGTTCCCAAGATACCCTGGCCCAAACTGGAAGCAGCTCGACACTCGACACCGTCAAGATGGCCTCCTCCTCTGCAAAGATGGTTTCCTCCTCTCTGCGATGGGCTTCCTGGTCCATTTCGGCCTTCCAGATTGAGCTTCAGGTTTTGAGTGTGGGGTTCAGGGTTGAGAGCTTTCACTCCGCAACACATAAACCCAAAAGCCTGAACCTCCACCCTAGTTCCCAAGATACCCTAGCCCAAAGCAGAAGCAGCTCGACACCGTCAAGATGGCCTCCTCCTGTGCAAAGATGGTTTCCTCCTCTCTGCGAGGTGCTTCCTGGTCCATTTCGGCCTTCCAGATTGAGCTTCAGGTTTTGGGTGTGGGGTTCAGGGTTGAGAGCCTTCAGTCCGCAACACCTGATTAAACCCAAAAGCCTGAACCTCCACCCTAGTTCCCAAGATACCCTAGCCCAAACCCTAAGCAGCTCGACACCGTCAAGATGGCCTCCTCATCTGCAAACATGGTTTCCTCATCTCTGCCATGGGCTCCCTGGTCCATTTCAATTTCGGCCTTCCAGATTGCGCTTCAGGTCTTGTGTGTGGGGTTCAGGGTTCAGAGCCTTCAGTCCGCAACACCTAAACCCAAAAGCCTGAACCTCCACCCTAGTTCCCAAGATACCCTAGCCCAGACCCTAAGCAACAAAAAGGTTTCAAGTTCGATTCCTTCTTCTTGGCTTCCTCCTCTCGGCGATGGGCTGCCGTTTTGGCCTTCAGAGTTTTCTTCCGTCGTGCCTGCAGAGAATCACCCTGAGCCCGAGAGCTAGCTAAACTTCACTCTGAAACTAAACCCCAAACCCAGCAAAATCCAAAGCCCTCAGCCTGTAAACCCGAGCCCTAGATGAGCCTTCATCTTCGGCTTGAGCAAGCCTTTCTTCCGTTGCTTTGGCGGAGCCTTGGCCTTAGCCTTCCGTTTCGGAACTTGTTCTCCCTCGTCGGGACCAGCAGCTCTGGGGACAGCGATCCGTCCAGTTCTCCTTTGTTTGATCTTCTCCTTCTCTTTCTGGATCTCTGGATCGCCCTGATTCTCGAGATCCTCGACCTGTTCCAACAACTCCTCCATGTCACTGTCCTCAGCGTGTTCTTCTTCTTGCGGAAGCAAGCAGGCAGCCATCTTCCTCCTGCCCTCTTGTTTCTCGTGCTCGGTTTCCAAGAAAAGCTCGAGGATTAGGCCGTGCAAGCTGGCTCGTGACTGGTTTTTGCGAAAGTTGACTTTGAACAATGCCAACAGGTCCTGGCACTGCTTGCATGTCAGATTGAGTCCGGCATGGATTCGACATGGCCTCAGAGGTCTGTTCCAGGTGCAGCGGGCCGTGCGGGCCAGACAGGCAGGCTTGACAGGAACGGAAACCCAGTCCTCCAGCTCCGTGATGTGGTGGAATCGGATGGCATTGTGCCTGTAGGGCCGGAAAGTCGACATCCCAGCATCCGTGCGGACTCCTGCCGCCAGCTCCAGGTCCCAAGCAACGAAGCCATAAGATCCAACAGCCAAGATCAACATGATCTCTCCTGCACTCTGGCATGCTACCACCTCGCCTGGTGCCCCAGCCAAGACAGACAGCCAAGCAGAGTTGGGTCCAGCTGCGAACTTGTCCTCATCTTGCATGTAGCAGAGGAACCACTCTGTTGCCACAACTTGCTGCCACTCCATCTGCTGGGTCGTGCTCGGCCACGTATGCTGCTTCGTTTTAGTTTCCATGAGCCTCTGGAGCTCCTTTTTGAGAGCCTGAGTCGAAGAAAAAGAAGAGCTTTCTTTAGCACACTTTAAGGTCTTCGGACCTTAGGATTTGCGGAGTTAGGGTAGTCGGAAATAGAGCCCTTAATGATCCTGAGAGTCTTAGGGCCTTAGAGTTTGCAGACATAGGTTGAGGCGGGAGGCATGGGTGTTGGGGCGCGTGAGCTTGTCAAAGCTCGAGGACTTGCCCACAGCAGCAGTGGCTTTCTGATCATCTGACACCTTCAAGCAGGGCACACCACGGCTCGGTATTGCACTGCAGCGTACGCAAGCAATTTGCTTCCCTGTCCGAGATTTTTGAAAGTGGCGTGCGTCCCTGAGCGCGTCTTTGGCCAGTTGATGTGTATTTTCCGCGATAACTGTGTCGGCAAGATGCGTGCTGACGAAGGTCAGAAGCTCAACCACTTGGTTGTTGTAGGCCCGGCGTTCGGCTGCTGTTGAAGCGACCTCGGCCATGTCCCGGATCAAGTGGATCAGCCTGTTGACGGAATTCAGCCGCCAATGCATCTCCTTCAGGGGTTCCATGCCTGCTCCACCAGCCTAAGCGCCAAACCCTAAACCTTAAACTCTTAAACCCTATAAACCTTGAAATGGACTCAACCCAGAAGGATGGTAAGGCTCAGCAAGTCCTGACTAGGTGTCGAGGACCAAAATAAAAAAGGCCAGGCAGCTGAAGTAGCTGCATGAGGTACCGAAAGTGCAAACAGATGCACTGTCCTTCCTCCTCGTTTGAAAGAAAGCGAGCCGGGTACAGTTTCCGAGGCCCATCAAAGAAGCCATTCCCGAGCACAGCGTGGATCTCCTCGGCCCAGAGCTTGGTCCCAGCTCTTTTGGCGATGTCACCGGCGATCTCGTGAGGCAACTTGAGCTGCTGGGCCTAAAGCGATTTGGTAGGGTCTCAATTGCATCAAGAGTTAAGCATTCCTTCGGATTGAGAGGCTAGATGTTCGAGGGATTGAAGGTTTCAGGGCTCATGTCATCGACTAGCAATAACCCAAGGTGCTTTCTGTGTGAAGCAGCTCCAGACTGGCGTCGCCATGGAGACCAAAAGCTCGTTTTTCCACCAGGTCCATGGTGTTACGAGCAACGGTGCAAGTCGCCATGAGCCCATCTTGAGCTTGAGTTGTCGTAGCTCCTCTCGATCGTCCAGATTGCCGGCCAAGATATCCGGTGTCAGCACTGCCTCAGGCTGGATGCCTTGCTGTGGCGGCCCACCTTCCCCAATCAGCATCTTTGTCCAGAAGTGTTCGCCAGCATAAAATTGGTGCGATTCGAAGTAAGAAAACCATCTCATGAGTTTGACGAGTGGTCCATGCTGCTGCAGCGTATGCAGCGAAGTGATCGTCCGGAAGAGTGCCTCCCTCTCCTCAGCACTCGTTGGCTCCGGAAGGCCCATCTCATGGCAGATGTACGGCATGTAGCCGAGGAAGATTTCGCCATCAGCTGTCTGTTTGGCTCGAAACTCCTCTGCATACTGGCGCTTCTTGGCCATCCAAGCCTTGGTGCCTTGGGGTCCATAATTCTTATCCCCAAAAGCTTGAAGTGTAAATCTTGCCACAACTTCCCCCAGCGAGAACGCACAGTGATGCAGGTACTCATCTTTTTTTTTCACGAAACCCTGGAGCATACGGGGGTCAGCAGCATTACCCGAGCAATGCGCAAAAGGAAAGGACTACGACCGATGTCGCAAACATCTGCTTCCAGACGCATGGCCTGTGCCAGCCCACTCCACCCCCTTCAACTGACTTCTGGCAGCAGGGCATCGTAAACGGGACTCACACGCCGACAATCGGAGTATGAATCGAAAGCCAGGCGCGAGGCTGCATCGGACGGATTGCTCTTTGACGGGACGCGACTGTACCATCCCAATACCCTCGACTCCACATCCAGTTTAGCAGACTGCATCAGCAAAGAAGTGGCATTCACCTGAGCAGAATACGAACGGATGAAAGTAAAACGAGCACCTTCATTGTCCAAGAAGAAGAGGACTCGACGTCCAGCGATCACATCCTTCCAAGTAGCCTTCGCCACCACCACGGGAAAGATCTCAGCAAAATAAATCACCTGCTTTCGACCGCCGCGTTTCCACGCGGCCACGAGCGACTCAGGGACGTGATCGCCGAAGACTTCCTTTCGACCGGAAACAGGATCGTAGAGGAGAGCACCGTGAATCACAAGAGAGCCTTCCTGTTCACAGGCCCCGTCCGTGAACACCAGGACAGGGGGCTGCTGACTCCAGGCACCCACGCAGCGTGCTCCCGAAGATTTCAGAGTATTCAAGGCAAACTGAAGTGCAGTCAGAAGCACATCGGTCCTCTCGCGGTCCATGCGAAAGCCATCGCTCCCACATTGCGAGATAAGCTGGGTAGCAATCTGAGCACACTTGCCGAAGACATTCCCAGCAGCAAACAACAGCTTGCCCTTGACTGAAAGAATGGCCTTCGGGTCACACCGGCGTTTGGCAATGCACTGCTGCACGATCTCTTCGATAGCTTCAAGCCTTCCTTCCTTGTTTCGAACCACGACTTCGCCTTTGTAAGCGTTCTCAAAAGAAATGCACGCCCCCAGCATGTTGAAGGACTGCGAAAAGGGCAGCGCCTTGATGCCCTGCGCAATCTTCCATCCAAGTAGGTCCAGCACGGCTTCGGCAGTCGTGCGTGCCGAATCCCGCAAAGGCTCTAACTCCATTTGGCAGTAATCGTCGTAGAAGTTCGTAGTAATCAAGAAGAAAAGATTGGTCAGCACCTTCCTCAAAGCTCGAGCGGTGCGGTTAAACCCGGTCACCGAGCTCACCGCGCCGAAGGGTAGCGCCACTGCCTCAAAATAGTGAACCACATCCTTGTCGGGGTCGAGAACAGCCAACACCGACACCCATCCGTCATCCGGGTGGCGAGCAAGCTGCTTGTAGGCCGCCTTCAAATCCAGAGCACGCCCGAAAAGACGCCGGGCTCTCCCGGCTCTCCAATCCGGGTGAACCTGTCCAGTGATCCACTCTTCTGAGGAAGAAGGAAGCTTGAAAGACGACACCCCCGCCGTTGTAGCACCAATAAAAAAACGCGCCAAGGAAACTATATGGTCGATTCCCTCCAACATGATTTTCTCGGTCTCTGTAACAGCAGCATTGATCAAGAACTCCGACAAGTCGTCCACGCTCCGCACCTTGTCAGCCTGAGCAACTCCAAAGCGCTTCGACGGGACCCAGCAGCCCTGATATTTCTTGTCGATCTCCTCCCAGCTGAATGGCCCTTTGAGCCAGGCCTTCTCCACCTGCTCCATGGTCTCCGACCACACAGCCTTGGCGATCTCCTGATCCTGTACAGCTCTCCGACACGAAGCCTCCACCAGGTGCTTGGACCACCGGGCCATCGCCTTCAAGTGGGAAACATCGATACCTGCCGGCCTGAGTTTCCTGGGAAACTGGCCTGACGGTTCCAGGGGACCAATGAGCCTGAAACCTTGCGTCATGTCACGGAGAAGATGAGGGTCCTCCACACCTGCATCCCGAAGCATCCCTTGAAAGAGGAGGAAATTCTTGCCTTCCATCACCTTTCGAACCTCCGGATCCATAGTAGCTCTGAGGGCCTCTTCCTCCGGACGGAGCGCTGCTTCCCTACCCTTGTAGTAAGACAGCACTCTCTCCCGAAGATTTTTGACGCCTTCCACTCCTTGACTCAAGATGACTTGCATGGCCTGAATGTTGCCCATGTCGAAGTTCGATGGCACATCGAAGGGATGTCGGGTCTTGGACGCCTCAGCAAGAAAAGCTTCTGGGGTACGGTAGATGCCAAACTTCACCTCGCGGACGCCCTCTGAACCCCCATTGTCCGACAGCGTCCGAGAGCTCAGCAGACGAGAGCCAGACGGTAGCCCTTGCAAAGGCCACGGGGCTGCAGAGTCAATGATGTCGGGCACCGCCACATGCAAAGGCACACGCATGGTACAAGTAGAACCAAACTCGGAGGGTCCGACCTGATGAGTGAAGCCACGTGGCTGTCGCCCCACGGCCGCCGCCACTGCAAATGTGTCCGAAACCACTTCTTGGCGTGGAAACGCATTGAAAGAAGCACAGATGTCGATCAAGTCAGACGCCGCGGCTTTGCAGAAGGCAGGCGGATAGGCTGCAGTCCCACTGGTCTGAAAGTTCCAGCGCCCGGCCTTTCGGGCGACGCCCCATGACTTGTGAGCATGCTGCCCGTCGCTGTGTGGATAGCAGACGAGTGGCCTTCTTGTGCTCGGATCCATACATACAAGCATGAGAAAACAAGGAATGCAAGCGGGCAACCCAAGGTTTCATCCACTTGGTACTCCAAAGCCAGGCTCGCCGCGGATTCTCGACGACACAGACCTTGCCCAAATGCACGCACAGCTCAAGAATCTCCGACGAGAATGCATACAGCTGATTTGCAGACCTCACACGGCGAGCATCAGTACCCGCAAGGTCCGGAAGACCCTCCGGGTGCGCAGCACTCCGAAGTGGCTTTGCAGAAAGAGAAGCATCGGCTGGCAGATGGGTCGGCAAAGGGATGTCGCGCGCCCTGGAGCCAGTGCCACACGGGGGCGCAAGCCAGACAACATCTGCACGCTGAACCTCCTGCTTGATCAGTGCCTGGTGATCTGCCCGAGTCAGATCCAGCTTCACAGCGGGGGCCCGAACAGTTCGTGAACGAACCACACGGTCCACACCCAGTGCATCGCCCCCTAGCCTGATGAAGGCTGCAGAAAGCCCGCCTGTTCCACAAAAGAGCTCAAGCAGGAATAGCACACGCGCAGGCAAGTCAGGATCTACTGCCGAACGGATGGGCCCTCCGTCCGGGGTGTTACATTCAGGTCCGTCGGCAGGCACGGGTCCCAAGGAACTAAGGGGTTTAGCAGGGACAGCAACCTCCGCAGGAGGCACGAACCCTAGGCGAAGGAGAGTCATCGCTATGGCTGAATCGTCCCAAGCCCCGTTGGGTGTAAAGCCCACAATAACCTCAATAACCACCCTGCGACCGACCCACGCCATCGTAGAATGTAACTTCTGTGCGTCCAAAAAACACGGTCCTGGATGGACCTCGAGAACCTTGCCTCGGAGTCGGGAATTTGTAGGAGCCGCAATCGAGCCCGCAGGATCCTCGATCCAGACACCGCCTTGCTGGAAAGCAGTCAGAGGATAAAGGATGTTGAAAAAGCGTCCGTCATTATTGATGTCACGATGCAGATCAGCCTTGAGATTCTGAAAGATTGCCAACGCCCCAAACGGGCGATGAGGTGCCTGCATCCGAAGAAACCGGCACATGACCTCGGTACACAAAGGGAAAACATGGGTGTTTGTACGAAGTCCACGGAAAGTATTTTGCGCATACGCCCCGGTCGTCCAGGACTTGGTATCGTCACCGGCAGAACCCCGACAAGGCGCTTCGCCAGGTAACTCCGCAAAAAGCTGCAAAAGATCATCGGCTGTGGGACGGTCAGACATCGTCCGAGCCAGCTGCTCGACGCGAGCAGGAAAATCGGTAGGCGAGTGCCCGACATGCTTCAAGTCGCTCGGCAAAACTGAAGGAGGAGCTGCGACCTTGAAGGAGCCTAGTCACGACCGCTTGGCCTTCGGACATTGAGCGAATACGTGATCCTTCGCCTCACATCCCGGTCCACAGCACACATGCTCTCCTTTGTCACAGCGGTCCCCTGTATGGCCACAGGTCCCAAGGTTGTGCCCATAGCAGATTGGAGCACCAGCTTTCGTGTGCGATACGCCTCCCCGCAATGCTTGCGGCAGCACACCCCTGAACTTCTTGCGATCGGGCTGATTCGCCGGTGGCTCAGGAGGAGGTGGCACTTTGCCAGCCTCGGTCTCTTTGACCGGCTGCTTCTTCTTTTTGCGCTTTCGCTTCTTGGTGCCCGTTGGCGTACCCAACGACTCATGATCCTCAACCTCAACAGGAGCACTCTTGCCCCCGAGTCGAGGAGGCATAAGGATCCAATGAATCGAGGGCATCTCCAGCACTTTTGCCAGATGATCATCCAAAGGCAGCTCGCCAGGTCCCGGAATCTCAAACCCAGCACGCGTCTTTCGCGCCAGCTGGATATGGACCTCACGGTCGGCCGACTGCACCTGGTTCAAGGTCACTCGCCCGCAACCCGGCAGGGTGTCCTTCTGCAACTCGCGAATCAAGAAGCAAACCAACTGCTCGTGAGCTGCAAAAGACATGTACCCGCCCAACTCATAAGCAATGTCACGCCTTCGAAGGGCCTGGAAGACTTCAAGTTCGGTACTGACGGCCGCCCTTAAGGAGTCCTGAGTCGGGACCGCTCGCAGCACGCCCGAGCGGTCAGGCTGGAGCATCTTCAGAGAAGGGACCTCCTTGAGAGAATTGACCTCCTGATTCCTGGTGGTCACTCGGCACAACTCAATGTATCTGACCCTCTGGTCTTCGACGCACTGTGACACGAGATTCACGACCGCATGCGAAGGCTCGAGGCTGTCCTCGATAAGCAGCGGCAGCACCTTCCTCTGAAGCGCCTCGATCCTGCTTGCAATCTCGGCCGGCGGCAGCTTCCGAGGCAAATCGCTTTCCGTTGCCTCAGTTTGCCTCTTGAGCTCAGCTGCCGTCAGTGTGTAACTCTCAAAGTGAAGCCTCCTCAACGCAGCCGCCGATGCATGATCAGAACTTCCCAGCACTGCAACGACAACATCTCGCACGAAGACACTGTCTTCCCCTTGCCCCGGAATGAACGAGGTCGAGAAGGCAAAATTCGCGAAAGTGCCCCAGCCCTTACCTTTAAGGGCTGTGATCGTCGCACTGGAAAGACCAACCTTGGCACATCGCGCTTCGAAGACGGCCTCACTATGTACGACAGCCATCGGTCACAGCCTAAACTGCAAAGGAATGCAACATGTGAACTCATGATCTCGCAAGCAGAAAACTCCGCGGCGCAAACACTCTATTTAGCGCGAACTCAACGATGAATCCAGCACCTCGCACATTTGCGGGGCTCATAAGCCGAGCACTCCCGGACCTCCTTATAATTGGAGTTCGCCTGCCTTCCGCAAAAGAAAACAGTAGCCTCACCATCCTCGTCAGGATTCAAAACTCGTGCCCTGTGCAAAATGCCACTGACAACGTGTCTAAAGAGAGAGCTATCAGGAAGGTCGGCACCACCTACAACGGCCTCTGCCACGATCGGTCCCGCCAGCTCCGCCAAGCGATCGGCATCATCTGATTCCTCCTCGTCCTGCAAAGAGCAAGAAGAGGACTCGGCGCCCTCCTCGGAAGCCCCCTCAGAAGAACGCCCAAGGTCGTTCTCAAAATCAATACCACCGGCATCTGCACCGTCGAAGCCAGCCTCTCTGTAAGCCGCGTCCCAATCCTCATCAGGTTCTGCCGGTTCCGCCTGGAGATCCCCCTCGCACTGAAGAGGATCCGGGCTGGTTCCCCGCACGAAAGGATCGGCAAGTCCCCTCAGAGCATCGTCAAACGATTGTGCAGAGTCCAACGGAGCCACACCAGCATCCCGCCAGAGATCGGAGCCGTGACCACTCCCCGAAGATCGAGCAATTTGCCTCAGCGCATCTTCCAAGGACCTGCAGCCTATCCAGCGCCCCGACCGAGTACGGTCGGGCTCAAACAAGCCAGCAGCCATCACTGAAAGAAGGCTCTCCAAATACTGGAGGACCGGTGCCATAGCATCGCGCCCGTACTCCAAAGGATTCTTCGACCCAGGCTCGATGTGATACCCGGCCAACCTCTGAAGGCCCGGGGGCGCCCCCGACTTCGTCATCCATGACAGCAGGGTCGGCTTAAAAGACCTGGTGCCACTTCCTGGACCCAAGCCCTCAATATCATGCCTTCGCAGAATTTCACCCAGCCAAGTGGAAGCCTCATCGGAAGACAAAGGAATTTTGGCCCAGCCGCCCCCCTCCAAGGGAGCCGGCATTGTAGGACGCCCCCGCGCAGCAACAAGGCCCTCACGTATGATTGTCCACCCAAGCGGAACCCCAGTCCTCACCGGAGACCCCAGGAGTCACGGCCACAGCCGGAAGCAGCCTGTTCCTCATAACAATGGCTCTCCGTGCAGTCTTGTGATTATACAGGGAGGTCTCGACGAAGCCCCGCCCATCACACAGGTCAATAAAAGGCTCCAAAGCGCAATATTGAGAGTCGCCCCAACGGAGTCGCGCATGTACACAAAAGCACACATGACCAATAAAGACTGCCTCTTGCCCACTCTGTGTCGCCGCAAACCACTCAAGAAACTTGAGCTGATGGCACTTCAAAGGCGGTGCCTTCTTGACCTCAACCTCGGCGGTACCTTCAGCTGCTCCACGCACACGAGCTGAATCAAGAATGGCTTGCACATTGGCTCCCAGCAGGCCCTTCGCGAAGCCTAGCGCCTCGAGAAAGCGAGGAGCACGGGTCCTCGGAGCCTTGCATCTTCGGAGGTGAGCAACATAATCGTACGCAAGCTTCTCGTCCAAAGGAAAAAGACCCACCACTGCACACCCGGACTCGTTGGCTCGCCACCTGCAGAACATCAACAGTGAGGCTGCCCGGGTCCTCAAGGTAGACGTTGCTTTACGGCGAAAAGCATCCGAAATCGAATCATCAATCGCCTCAGGACTCCCTTCCTGCTGAGAAGCCAGTAGTTCTTTACCCAAAGCAGTCTCTTCGCCCGAAGACAAAATTATAATCTTCCACTTTTCCAAAGCAGCAGACCTCTTGTGATCAAGGACGTCAACCCACGACGCACTATGCAACGCACACTTCATCCACTTCGAGCTCTTGCCCTTAGCCGCAGCCCTGCTCGGTGTAACGTCCGACCAGCTCCTGGCATCCACATCCGAAGCATTGTCCACAGCAGGGGCCGTCACGGGCCAAACAGGCGAGGGAAGAATACTTTTGGTCGGGTCTCCGAGGATTGCATTAAGAGGACCTGTTTCCCAAGCCAGGCGAGGCCGCCTGACACGGGCTCTGAGAGCCCAAGCATCCCCACGAAGAGACAAAGGTTCACTCCCACAATCGGTACCTCCTCTCGGGTCCCCCTTCATACTGGAAACCGATTGCACATGTTGCTCAAGGTCCAAGTCCTTGCGCTTCAGACTCATCGCAGCGAACAAGACGGCTCAGTCGGTACAACCCTGGGCGAGGGCCCGCAGATCAGCTCCCAGGTTCTCCGCGGCAGTAAAGCCGGCCTGAAAGAGGGCCTGTCTGTCGGCCGGTGCTAGCTAGAAAACTCCACAGCAGCCCGGTGACGTGAAGCATAGTCTCGTAGCCACCAAAGACGCAGTCAAAATTTAGCCGACTTACGGCCGAAGGCTCAGAGGAGCTGGTCAGGGATCGCAGGTCGAGATCGGAAGACTCAGAGTCCACCTCGTCCATGCAGCGGCCGGCAGCAGACTTAAACCCTTACCGAGCCTCTAGAGGAGCCCCAAACTTACACGTGTGACGGAGTGGCACAAAGCAGGTGTCCGCACTCTCACTCCGACTCGCGGGCCGCTCACGAAGAGCAGTCGTCCGCTTCCTTCGCCGGGAGGTACGACGCACGTTGCAATATGCACTACACGTCAGGCCCCGAGGCTCAAAAGCCACCGTGCACTGTTGCCCAGGGCTAATGACTGCAGGACATGCGTAGAAGTTCGATCATGAGCCGACTCTCAGACCCAGGCGACCCTTCGGGTCCAGAACCCGGCTTCGGAACTACAAGGGCGGCCGGCTCAGGTCTCTCAGGCTGGCTCAGAACACGGCGTTCGGAAGAAGAGGGCTCCGAAGAGCCTCGCCCCGGACAGGAAAACCTCATCGCCATCACTGTGGCGCTTCCTCCCGACTCGGCCTCTGACTCGGGCTCTGTCAAGGAGCGTCCCTTTCCAGGCTGTCCCTTCTTCTTCTTCTTCTGCTTCTTGCCTTTGTCCTTGCCCTTGTCGCCTTTTCCTCTGTCGCCCTTGCCCTTCTCGGAACCACGGGGCTTGCCAGATCCCTTGGGAGTCTGGTCGCCTTTGCCTTTCGGCTTTCCTTTGTCTCCTTTCCCTTTGCCCTTCGGAGCACCACCGCGTTCGTCCTTCTGGCGCTGCCAACACTTGTCAGCTGTGTGTCCCTTCTTCCCACAGTAGTCGCAAAGCTTCTCCTGCAAGGCTCGGCCTGAAGACCCAGGGGCCTCACACAGTCGCAGCTGCTCTTCGTAGTAGGTGAGCGTCTTCCGAAGGGCCTCCCAGTCGGAACTGGAGCCGTGGAGAACCACGTACTGTCTCACTTCGGCGCTCAAACTCTGCAACAGAACAGAGCAGCGGTCAGCCTCAGACAGCTTAAGCTCAGGGAAGTTGCTCAGCTTCGCTTCCGACTTCGAAAACGAATCCTCAAGATGTCGAATCAAGTCGGTGGGCCTCTTCATGTGCCCAACGTGCTGGTACAACTTCAAAGACTGTTCTCTCACGAAGACAGCTTCCATCCGTGACACGATGGAGTACTGAGAGGTAATCGTTCGAATCACCTCGTAGCCGCAGGCGCTCTGTCCCTGCCTCTTCGAGCAGGACCTCAAGAGCTCGCTTCCTCGCTCCCACTTGGCGAGGGACTGCGTCAAGTAGTAGAATTTAGTAGAACAGCTTGGAGCTACGCGCTGCCGTCTCGGGATTCAAGTCAGCTTGCACAATCTCCGATTTCACGGGGATACAGAGCTGCAGTTCCCGAACAAACGCTTACTCCTGCAGGGCAAGCCAGGAACTCAGCGTCTCCATAAAGGAGTGCCAAGTCTCTACCTCCTTCATGCGCCCTTTCCCCATGCCTTGATGGTCTATCACCGGAAGGTTCGGCAGATACTTCTCTGCACGGCCTCCAGCACCAGAGTACCCAGAGGGAGAAGGGACTGCCGGAGGAACTGCCGAACTCGCGGCAGAACTGCTCGCGGGAGCAGTGCTCGGCTGGAAGGGGTCCCGAGTCTTAGCTGCTTCTGCTGCCTGCTTGGCCGCTTCAGCTGCCTCGTGAACCTTCTCTTCCGCTTTGTTCCTTCTCTCTTCCTCCAGATCCATTCTCCGGAGCATCGTCGCAACGAGCTGCTGGTTCATTGCCATCATCTCTCTCTGCTGACGAAGCAATTCCATCATGAATCCAGGCATCTGCTCAGGCGTAAAACCTGCAGAACCAGAGCTGCTACTCGGAGCAGCAGCCTTCGGACTCTGAACAGGTGGAGCCGACGCCTTTGGACTTTGCACAGGAGGCACAGTAGCACCAGCTGGCGAACCCGCCGCTGGTACAGAAGGCTGTGCTGCTTGCGTAGGAGCAGGAGCCGGACCTTGGACAGGAGCAAACGGATTCGCTTCCTGCTGAGCACCTTCAGGCGCTGGTCCTGGACCAAAAAGGTCGAACTCCTCTTCTGCAGTGGTCTCCGGCACAGGAACGTCTGCCATGGCTTTACTAGGAACGCACTCAGCGCTCCGCTACCATGTGAAAAACGCAGAGCAAGTCTCTTTTCACTCCACGCTTGAGCCAAACACCGAAGTGTTCAGCAAGGTCTCTTGCGGAGTCTCGCGCAGCAAATTCCGTCTCAACTTTGCTAAACAAAGGAGGAATGACATGCAACTGTCCTAACACTTCTCAGGACTTCTGTACTCACTCAAACAGCAGTGCACAGCCACTCTGTCCCTTGGCCTGTTCCTACCGGCACGAGCGAAGCGAGGGTCGGCGGAAAACAGCGACAGTGCAGTCAGAGCAACACGCACTTCTTCAAGGATGCTCCAAAGCATCTCTAGTGCAGTAAGTGCTCATCATGTTCTTCAAAGCAACTGCAAACATGCCAAAACATGTGTTAGCCATGCAAATGCCTGTTCAAGCTTCCAAAACAAGACAGTTCAAGGCAAAAAGGATGAAACCCTTTCTCATGCGCAAAACAAGCATGTCGGTACTCAAGGGCACACCTAAAAGGAGTAAACTTTTCACACGCTGGGGTACTTCGGAATGGCAGTGTAACATCACTTCAAGTCTTTGCTGCGACTGACATCTGGATCAACTTTCGCGCATTGGCCACGCAGTATTTGGCGAACGCACCTTCTTTGCGAAGCGTAGTGCTATGCTCCTTCTTGGACATTTGCGGGCTGACCTTGGCGCCTTTTCAGACGTGGAGGCGGAACGGCTCCTTACCGCGCTGGGCGCGACTGACTCTGTCTCACTCAGGCACCTTTTACGTGCCGGCAGCCTTTCTTAGGCGCGAGCAGTGAGCCTCTTCTGTAGCGCCCCAGCTTTCTTGCGCGGCAGGATTGGCATGGCCTTTTCTTACTGGTCGCTTGGACAAGGGCGACTGGCTCTTCGCACTGACTGATCCTGCCCAACGAGACGTAAAAAAGGCTGGAAGGAAGGGTGGTAGAGGCCGTGCAGTTATGTCAGTGCATACTGCCGTGAGCCAACCGCTCTTCTGTCTCGCACTGGCTTAGGCGGTGCCTCATTCGAGGCTGCCGCGCCTGACACCGCAATAGTTCCCCGAGACCGCCACTGTTGCGGCACGGTACTTTATTCGAGGCGACCGTTTTACTGCCTGCTCCCTCGGAACCCCTGCCATGGAGTATCCAGGGGAACATTTCTCCGTGGAGGTGCATGCGGACGCAGTCCAAATCTGCCGAGATGCGCTACGGGGTGTTCTTGGTCGCTCAATTGGGACTTGGTGGGTACACGTATCAGCCTTGTTGGTCACTGCCCCTTTGGTTGCTGTCGATCAGTGCTTCCCGAGAAAAAAAACGCGCAGGACGGTAGGACTGGAGCATACCTCCGGGCGGCAAGTTGCGGGTCCGCGCAATAAGTCACAAGGTGGACCACTGCCTCATCAAGCCGCCGAGCGGTAGATAACAGCAGGGGCTGAAAGTCTGTTGCCGGCATTGGGTCAGCACGAGCCTGAAGCAAAGCGAGAACCCACTTGGCACGGCCCAAGTAGATCGCGTAGACGAGAAGAGCACTTGTCCACCCCGTATCGGGCAGGTTGGCGCACCCTAGCCCGCAAGAAGCACGCCGACTCCAGGCTTGAAGTTCGAAAAAACGGCTCTTTGCAGAGAAAGCCATGGGCCATTTGGGTCTGCTCGCAAAAGAAGCACAGCAGTGAAGCACACTGCTTGGTGGCCTGCATTCCAAGTCCAGCCCAGTGCCGAGTGGGCCTCGCCACAGCTTGTCACCCACTCAACCAATTTTTGGTTTTGGCACTGAGGGCCTTCACAATACTCCCGTAGTTTTTGGAGTGTGTTCAATCCAGGCAATGTGCCTGTAGAATTTCTCCCAGGGTGACCAAAGTACAGTTGCCGCCTGCCAACAGACAAGGCCGGGAAGCGCGATCAGAGGGAAATGTGTTGGCGACATCAGCGCCGCACCAGCCAGCAAAAGCAACACAAGATCATAGTTCTGCAGCATAGCCTGCAAGATCAATGGCGCGTACCAAGTAGAGGTTCGGCCGGTATTGGCCAACGTCGGCTTTGGAGATAAAGGTCAATGTCTGCGTACTTCCAAGGATGACATCCACAAAATGGACAAGGTCCGCGCGGACTCAGTAAGCAACTGTCGATAGCATTTATGGCTGATAATCGCAGAGGACAAGTTGGAATAATCTGGCGGGGATTGCTTCCAAAAGCTTTTGTGGCACGCAAGGCAGCGTCGATTTCCAAGCGTGGAGCAAGATAAGCCGTCCAGCGCACAGTACATGCGCAGTTCTAAAGAAGCCCAGAGACGATCAGTAAAGATCGATCTTGTAAGAGTAGCTTCAATTGATGACATAGCCTCAGTCCAGAAGCAGTATGACTCCTTGCCAGTAGTGGAGCCTTTGAGGCGCGTGGTGCCGGTGCGGACAAGCTGGTGCCACTCCGGAGTGCTCTCACTGGGGGGAAATGGATCAGTTTCTGAGATGAGAGCGGAAGGGTTCCCTCCCTTGCAGCAGTAACCAAAGTGTACTCAAGTTGTGTTGTTGAATTCTGTACATAGAAACGCCCCACACCTTTGGTAAGCCCAGGCTACGGTGTAGTATTGTATAGTTGTATAGTATGTGACCGACGCAGCGCCTTTGGTTCAAGAGTAAAAGCGTGACCGCTCAGGGTTTTACAATTTAACTTGGTAGCGGAGCAAGTAAGCCTGAAGATCCAGGAAACCTGTGGGCCGAAGGAAACCGGATTGGAACCGGAAGAAGTATACGAGGATACCTGGAAACTGGACAGTAAATCTTGGAATTCGCCATGAAGGTGATCATGGAGAAGATGTACAAGGACCTCTTGCGATTTGTGTTTGGCTTCTGTATGAGTATCACGCTCAGCCAAGGAAGTATTCAGGAAACAAGTTGCTTGTGGATGAACATGTCTCACCTTGTTATTCGACCGCAGCCGTTTACCCTCAAAGAGGAAATTTCGGATTGTGTATGGGATCAACTGTATCCCCAAGGATGGGAGAACGAGCGGAAGAAGGATCTCTCGTCCCAGCGGCAGGAACTATGGAACTCAACGACAGTGAAATCTTCCAGGATGAACCCCGCCAAACGGTATCGCGATTCACAGAACAAGAACCGTTGCCTAGAGTGGCAAGGCCTGGCATGGAAGAGGTCATGGCCGGACGAACTGCGGAGTTGGGAGAAATGCGACAGAGTGCAGAAGAAAGGAGAGCTGCATTGGTGGAGCAAGCTAACCTGCAAACGCCAGGAAGAAAAGCTGCAAGTACTCCAGCAAAGACTCCAGTATCAACTGGAGGAGGAAAGTCGCGAGAAGAAAAGAAGAAAGAGAAGAAGACTGCCCGGAAAGAAGCCAAGCAAAGTAGGAAGGCCGAGAAGGCTAAAAGGAAGCTGGAAGAAGAAGCCACAAGTCCTCAAGGTGTTCGACGTAAGTTGGATGAAGCTATGGAAGTGGCAGGATCGATTGAGAACGTCATGTTGCTTGAGAAAGAGTATAAGCGGTTCAGGAAGTATCAACCCCCCTTCCTTAGTATCTACAGCCAGATGTTGCAGAACAATTGGCAATTCAAACCCAGATCTTTCTACGATCCCCAGGAAAGGATCCAGAGACGGAGCGTCTCGAAGCTCTCAAGGAAGAAGAAGAGAAGAAGTCCGAGGCAGAGTCTCGGAAGCGTAAGCTTGAAGAGCTGGAAGAAAAGAAGCGTACCTTGGAGGCTGAGTCAAAGCGGAAGCAGCAAGAACTCGAGGATGAAGCAAAGCGTATCCGAGCCGTGGAAGAAGCTGAACGGAGAGCCCGAGAACTTCAGGAAGCCAACCGTAAGAAGGGCAAGATCAACGTACCAGTGGAGACTGTGGATCCGGATGAATGGTACCGTAACAAAGCCCGTGAAGTCGTGGACCGGTTGCGCTCTCGTAGAGAAGAGCAATTGGCAATCTCCCGTAAAGCCGAAGAGGATTGGCTTGGAGCCTGCAGAACCTTCGAGAAAGCCCAGAGTGGATTCCTGGTGGCTTCGGAAAAGCTGCAAAGTGCCGAGCCATCAAGGTCGCAGTACGCTACGAGAGGAAAAAAACCTTTCCTCTATCTTGCAGTCCATCCACGATGGAA